AATGATCGACATGGAGTCCGAAAGGAATATGTCATTGCGTGAGTGAAGTTACCAGTTTCCACGGCAAAACATCTCAGGAATAAGTAAGCGCGTGAGTTAAGTTACCTATTTCCACGGAAAATTATCCCGGTCCCAAATAAATTATGTCAACTTGGCGTAAGGTTCGATATTGAACATTCCCAAGACACTAAGAACCAAAATTATTTTTAACAGTGCTGATTTCTCGAATCAATGAAAATGTAGATACGGTTCTTTAGACTTTTACTTCTGAGAGAGTATGGTCATTTGTGTGGCGCTGTCTTGAAAGTTGCGCGATATATGCTCTATTGTCAGTCTCTCGAGAGGTGCGAGGTCGTCTGTAAACAAACAAGATGGTGACCTCACACAACCACGGAAGTCCCTTTTGGAGAAAAAATCAATACAGTTATCATGATAAATACGAATCGATAGTGTGAATATTTAATAATAAAAAAGAGAAAAAAATGAATGGGGATAATTAAGGGTTGTAAAAACACGATTCAAAGGTAACCGTCAATTACAGGGTTGCCACAGAATTTAGAAAATGAAATTCCCTGACATTCCCCTGATTTCTCTCACACATATTTGTGAAATTCCCTGACAATTGAAGAGATGCCAGATGGTAAAAAGACATAATTAAAAATAGTTTTCAGGCAAAATTTGTCGTTTGAAATAGCAAACCCATTCTGAAAAGCAAATAAAGGTGACTTGATAATTTTTCCCTGATACTATCGTTATTTTCCCTGACTTTTTAAAATTCCCTGACATTTCCCGGTGTTCCCTGACCGCGAAAATCCTACAACTAACATTGATGCAAAAGAGAAAGCTGATAACAGATACCATGGTGTCTAGGTCCGGGAAAAAGTTATATTTATCAGGGAATTAAAAAATTTAGGGAAAATCAGCGAATCTGTTCCTGGAATTGGGAGGAAAAACAGTGTTGCCAACTTGCAAAATCGCCACTGATCGTTCTCCAAAGTGTAAAAGATCCGCTTTGAAGTTAAGGAAGGTTAACAGATCGAGCGTCCATGAAGCTCACAATCAGACATCAGAGCAATTTGGACGTATTTCTGCCCAACGGAACTATGAGCATTATGACGTGAGCCCTGTTATGCATATATTCTTAAGGGCCTCAGGGCTCATGTCTTAATGCACATAGTTCCGTTTGGCAGAAATACGTCCATTTAATTTTTTGGACCGATAAGAGAGGTTTGCTTACACTCCGAATACTCGCAAACAAAGATATCAATACGCTATTTAAAAACGAGTACTTGAAAGGTCTTGAATACACTTGATTTTTTTTTTTTTTTTTTTTTTTTTTTAAAGTTTGCACGAATCAGGTGTTGACACATCTAACATCCCCTCTTGTAATTTCCAACAGCGATGATTTCACACATCACTTGAGTACCTAATCCGCCCTCGCTCAAGATTTCCGGATTAGTAGAAAATAGTTTTCGAGTTGTAGAAATGCGGAAAGCTCGTGCGCTTCAAATTTAATGGGTCACGTTCTGGAGGTAAAATCGAAAGAGAATTGTGTGCATACACAGTCAGCAGTATTTCAACGATTTTATTACACATGAGCGCAGTGTATTCATCGATTTATGAATTTCAAGATTACTCGCTCGCACGTTAACGTAAAAAGTGTAAACCTTCCTTTTCCTAAAATCCTAATAATTAAAAGAATCGGATTATTTTTTTAAAATATTATTCATATATTTATAATTGATTTTAGAAACTTGTGTTAAAAAAATAACGTTTTCAAATAAAATAAAATTCCAATAAAATATTCTAGGCGATGATTATTTTGGCATGAGTCCCTGACTTTTCCAATTTTTTCTCAGAAAAAAAAGGTAAATCGTAAATGCAATCGTAAGTTTAAAATGTAATTGTACGATTCACACGAATTTTTGGGGAGGCGAGCACCAAGCAAGGTTCAATATTACCGTTTGAACTTTCAACATATGTCATTTCATTTTTAATTCTAATTCTACACGTTTGGAGGAACGGTATTGTGCCAGGCCGTAGAAAATTGAAACTGAACGTGTAAAAAATGACGATAAACATGATACCGCTCCGTTAAGACGCTATGTAGTCGAGCAAGGCTAATTTTCTCTGAAAGCTTAAACTTCCGTGCTAAGGAGGAACACCATATGAGCCTTCAGGCGTTGCCATATTTCCTTCAATTGACAAGGAATTTTCTGGGAGAATTGTGATTATTTTTCTTCAAAATTTTCAGACAATTGCGTACGCACTTTATTCTAAAATATCTGAAAATTTCAAGGGCATATAAACGTACATTTTCTACAAAATACATGCTTTATCCGGGGAAATTTGGCAACTCTCAAATGTTCAAACGGCGTTCTTCCTTAGCACGACAGCATATTTGATATTTTCCATTCGCGCTAAACTTCGTGGGGCAGTATGATACTTACAAGGAAAAAGATTCGTCTTTAAGAGTATCGTCACCGATCAAAGTTGTTTGGTCGAGGAGCCAATCATATTCAAGTGCTAACTTACGTCACACAAGAAACACTTATTCTACTCCCATCACTCATTTCAAGTACCGGTTATGACATTGGAGAGGAGTCAATTTGGAGGGGTGAATTTGGACTGGAATAAGCACTCCTTTCTCCTTGTCGTTATCACGCTGTCACTGTATAAGCTATTTTTATTGAAGGGAAAACCCTACCGAAAAAAATTACAATCAGTGAGAAAAGGGTCCACAATGGTGGAAGACTCAAGATTCAGATATACGATAGATGCCACTGATCACAGTGGAGAATGTTCCACAAACATTTTGGCGTAAAAACATTGCAGAACGTCAAACCAGACCAGAGTCTTGACGAATTAAAGTTCGCATATGCAGACATAGTTTGGAGCGATAACTAACTACTACTTGGACCGCGTTAAGTAGAAAGGAACCAAGCCCTATGAGCTATTACCAAATTTAATTGGGAGACTTAATTTTTACATGAAAACGGTCGTGCGGGTTTTCGTGCAAATTTCAGTGAATTTTCTACATAGTAAGAACCAAATTCCATAAAATTTTTGAGGGAGTCCGCACAAACGCTCTCTGGTAAAAAGTCAAATTGCCTGATTAAATTTGGCAACAGCTGATGTGGCTTGGTTCCTTTCTGCTAGACGCGGTCCGTTTCTGGCTCATCTATAGACCGTATTCGATAATGGTTCGATGTATCGTTTGGTTCAAAACAATAGAAAATAACCTCAAACAAAACTGATATGATTTAATTCGAAAAAGCTGGAAATGAGAAAATTCCTAACAATTTCACTTTGCATTGGCATTTGGTACTCAAAAGAATGAATTATCTACTACAAAAGTCCCGTTCCCTCGGAGTTCTGAATGGACTTTTGAGGCTATGTTTATGTTTTGAACCAATCGATATCGATACAATCTCACCCGTTTGATGTATCGAATACGATCTATTAAAATATAACTACAGATGAGGACCTTTCCGACCGAACAGCAGATACCCATGACAACGTTGGTAAGATTGTGCAAATACACGATTGTTTAGTTGGTGGAGAGCTGTATGATTTGTTCTGAGATTGACCTCAAATTTTCTTCCCAATATTATTCTAAATATTTTGACGAAGAAATTTAAAATGTGAGTGATTTCGGATACTCTTAAAAAGGGGGGTTGCGCAATCTTAGCGATGTTGACACGGTTATATGCTGTTTGAAAGGTCCTTTATATTATGTGCGTGGACAAACTACAGGGGCACATACGTTGTTTCTAAAATGAGCCGGAAATAGTGGCTCATTTCAACCAAAAATCATGACTGGAGCTCCAAATTATCGGATGATACCGTATAATCCTATAGCTTTTGTCTGAAACTCAAACACCGATCTTTTAACTCAACTTGACAAAAATTACTCTCCGGGTACTTAAATACCTGGAGGAATTAAAAGGTTCCACTTTGCAAGGACGATCCGTCCCAAGTAGCATTTTTCAGTGGAAAAATCGCGATATTTTGAGATTGGGTTGCAATTTTTATACGATTTTTGGCGATGAAATCGCCATGATTATCAACATTGAGCGATTACCACCATTCTTATCGCAGTTTAATTTGTACATCTGTTATCTTTTGATTAGTATCAATGCATGGACGAATTTAAAACAAGAAAAAAATTCAAGGTTCCGGGGGTTTCCCGTAAAATTTTATTCCCTGGGTTTTCCCGGATTTCCTCGGTAATAGAAACCCTCCAATTCTGGTACACCGTCCAATTTGAAAACGAAAAAAAAGCAAAAATGAAATGCTGATACGTTGTTCCGTCACAGAAACGACGAATTACGCAACGTGAAGCGTGAACTGCATTTAGGCTGATCGCACAGTGGATCGATTCAACAGGAGAGGTTGGACAAAATTAGGAAAATTTAAAAGCTTATAACTCCGTTTATACACAATTTTAAGGTTCTAAAAGTGGTTTCATTGGTTTCCTCCTGAAATTGTCTTCCAGAGGCACCCATTAAAATTTAAAATGCGATGTAATAAACATCAAAATTTCCAGTTATAGTAAAAAATTTCATGTCCAACCTCGCTAATGGAGAATTTGCAAGGGTCTGAAATTTGATGAATTTCCTGTTTAAGTGGAATCCTCTGAGTGAACTGAACACGAAGATACCCTTGATTCATAAATTGAGCATTTCTTAGAGGAGATATGACAAAATAACCGATTCTGCTAAAATACATGTGTTGAAATGGGAAATGCTGCCAGATGACGTCACAAGGCGGCACATTTTCTCACTTTTAAATCAATTTTTCTCCAATTTCCCATGTCAGAAAAAAATTAAGAAAAGTATTGCGAACTCAGCTCATTAGGCACTTTCAGATGAAGCAATAAAAAAATTGCGTGCAAATTCTCCATTGAGTCGATCCCGTGTGCGGCGGAACGGCAAGAAAGCAGCACGTGCTCCGGTACCACTGACACGGAAGATAAGGCTAGCAAAAGCTCGACTTACTTTAATTCAGCCAAAAACCTCGCGTGCCTCGGAGAGAGATTTTTCGTCACGAATATTTGAACAAGATAGACATGTTGACGGAGTCCTCAGCACACGATGATAAAATTCAGGCGACGCACGGGAGAACTGGAGAACCGCTGGGATCCGCTGTCGGCTGGCCACGTGAGCGAGTTTCAAAAAAAAAAACGACGAACGGTGTCGGAAAAACAACTTTGGATTTCGGAAAAAAACGAGGAAAAGTTGCGGCGATTCGCTGCGGGGCAAGTCGGAGGCGAGCGCGATCGATTGGGCACGCGGCGGCACGGGTTGAGTCAAAACACCACTGAGGCTCGCGGTGTAAACATTCTTGGGAGTTAGCTCCGATAGGGGCGAACTGATAAAAACTCGGTAGATGCAGCGAAAAAATGATACGCNACATGTTGACGGAGTCCTCAGCACACGATGATAAAATTCAGGCGACGCACGGGAGAACTGGAGAACCGCTGGGATCCGCTGTCGGCTGGCCACGTGAGCGAGTTTCAAAAAAAAAAAAAACGAGGAACGGTGTCGGAAAAACAACTTTGGATTTCGGAAAAAAACGAGGAAAAGTTGCGGCGATTCGCTGCGGGGCAACTCGGAGGCGAGCGCGATCGATTGGGCACGCGGCGGCACGGGTTGAGTCAAAACACCACTGAGGCTCGCAGTGTAAACATTCTTGGGAGTTAGCTCCGATAGGGGCGAACAGATAAAAACTCGGTAGATGCAGCGAAAAAATGATACGCGGCCGCGGAGTGGGGAGAGAGGGCCGGCGGGGCGGGGCGGGAGTAGATAGCCCGCCGCAGTTTTGCCGCTTCGCCTCGAAAAATTAACTCTTTACTGTATACAGGGTGTCCCAGGATTAAGTACGGATATTGGAGGAGTCGACTCGTTTGATACAAAAAGACGTTTTTGTGCACTGAAAAAAAATTCTCGGCGTTTTTACCGCGGTCCGTCGGTACCCTTACCATCTCACTTTTTTTACCAATTATTGGTAATTTTACCAAGACATACTGGTAAGCTTACCTAAAAACCGGTATTTTTACTGTTTTTTTTTCAGGTAAGAATACCACTTTTATTGGTAATCAATTCCCGGTAACTTTGCCATTTTATCTTGGTAATTCTACCACCGTCGATAAAAAATATTGGCGTTTTTACCAAGGTCCAGTAAAATTACCGAGAAAGTTCAGTAATTTTACCGAGATTTCTCGGTAAAATTACCAATTCCATAAATGGTAATTTTACCAAGAAAAAACTGGGATCAAATAGAACCCTGAATTGTTGGTAATTTTACCCTTTTTAGTAAATACACCGAGATTTTTTTTCAGTGTAATTATACAAGGTAACCCAGGATTAAGTACGAATATTGAAGGAGTCGATTCTTTTGGTCAAAAAAGAAGTTATGGTGGTATAATATTTTTCTCCCAGAAACACTTTCCCTAGGGGCCCCATCATTCATCTATAATCCAATATTAGCCCCAAATATAGATACGTAGATATAACCTTGACACATGTCAAGGTATAAATGACACAATTCTCCAATTAAAGTTTTAGTTTGAGTTCAAAGCTCATTTAGGCAATCGCACTGCAAAATTTGTATGTTTCACTCTTTACGATGCGGTTTGCCGGCGGAGCTCTGACAGGATCGCTATCAGTGGCGGTTGGGTGTCGCAGAGCGCACAGAAGGGCTATAAGAGCGACAAGTTAGTTAGTGGGAAAAAAACACACTAAGAAATGACCCGCACTGTATGTAACGAGGTAGTGAAGTGGTGCCGAGTCCACACCATTTCACAGGGAAAACGAAGCCAAAAAGTTCCAAAAATTTTAATTAGAGTTCAAAATTGTTTGAACTTTTTGGCTTTGTTTTCCCCGCGAAATGATGTGGACCCAGAATCACCTCACGATCTTGTTAGTTAGTAGATAGTACTGTTATAAAAGCTAATATTTCGAAGTTTTTGGTGTCGATGTCTCAGGTTGGATTGGAAATAGAATCCAAAGAGGAGCTAGGAAACTTCGAAACCATAAAAGTCCGATTTCTAGGGCCAATTCCATTTTCAACTCCCCGTCCTAAACATCACCCGACCTAAAATAACCGTGGAAAAAGCCTGACACGGGTGTTCTGGGACACCTTACGTACATATTGCACTGCTGTATCACGACTGATCTATAGATCGGAGTGTCGACAACAGTCTTCATCTCTGAGTGACATCACTAATGAGCGTGTGCCCCATTAAATAAAAAAGGATAAAGTTGCTTTTTAATCGAAGGACTTCAAAATATCAGCATTTCCTAAGGAGCACATATTTTAATTTAATTTTTAAAACGAGGCCTCGGGAGAACGAGATGAACGGGGCTTCTAATGCAAACATCTCATTCAACATAAGCAACGCATTCGGTAATGCTGATAATAACGGCTTGATACAACTATTCGTACTCTATGGACGCGCGTGTTGCATACGAAAAAATGGAAGGCGCTCCGGTCACCGAACAGTCCATGAAGCAGTAACACATTCAGTTATGTTGATAATAACGGCTTGATACAACTATTCGTACTCTATGGACGCGCGTGTTGCATACGAAAAAATGGAAGGCGCTCCGGTCACCGAACAGTCCATGAAGCAGTAACACATTCAGTTATGTTGATGATAACGCCTTGATACAACTATTCGTACTCTCTGGACGCGCGTGTTGCATATGAAAAAATCGAAGGCGCTCCGGTAACTGCATAATACATGAAGCAGTACACGCAGCAGCGTGTGCGTGGTGCGCCGATACGAATATGCGGCAAGATGAAATTATCTGATAAAAACTGATGAAAGAGGATAGGAAAGGATATTTTCGGGCATAAAACTTTAAACCTCTTTTTCTCAGTTTCAACTTGATGGATCGTGGTTTCTTTCTGATGAACTCGGTCCATTTAGTGTGCGATTTGACTCATGATGATTATTGCGTTTTCATGAGCGGTAGGTTTGAATCCACGCGTCAAGATACATTAAATATCTCGGTTGGGAGTTGATTTCAGTAATTTTAGTTGCGCGAATCGTGTTTTACGTGAGATTTTGGTTCAGAGACGTGTATCAGAATAGTACAACCGAGTGAGCGGCGGTGCACGAATAATTTCAAGTCTCGGTACAATTCTGCCAATGTACACCCAAAAATTCAGTTCAAGTCTGAGAACTCGCTGCACTGCATTTTTTAACCGCACGTTGGCAAAATTACCGACACTTGAATGTAACAGAATGCTTAACTTCGTACTTTATCCACACTGGAAAATCGTTTGGTCATATGAATTGAATGTTCAGTGTTCAATATCATCCCAAGTATTCGGCTTGTCAAACCGAACTTTCGGTTCATGAAATCGAACCCTCGGTTCATGAAATCGAACCCTCGGTTCATACACTGGAAAAAAAAACCACATTGGATCTAGAGTCCACAGTCTTAAAAACATCGACAAGAACAAATACTCTCGATTCAGTCAAATTTTTGCTTCAGTCAAGAACGAAGCCTCTTAATTTGAGCGGACTTCTGATTTAAGCAAAATTCTGATTGAATCAAGAGTATTTTTTCTTGTCAATGTTTTCGAGAGTCTGGACTCTAGATAAGATGTGTTTTTTTTTCAGTGTGATAGAGAGGAGAGCAGTAAGTGTCAAATTTTCGAAATCGGATTCCCCTCAAAATTCGTCTTTAATCTCTCAGATGAAATCGCTGAAACAGCTAAAACGGCAAAATTCATCTTAACTGTTTAAAAACGAGTCATATGAGAAAACCGTGAGGTACAATGGAAAAAAAACCACATTGGATCTAGAGTCCAGACTCTTGAAAACATTGACAAGAAAAAATACTCTTGATTCAATCAGATTTAAGCTTAAATCAAACGGAAATCCGCTCAAATTAAGAGGCTTGGTTCTTGATTTAAGCAAAAATCCGATTGAATCAAGAGTATTTTTTCTTGTCGATGTTTTTAAAAGACTGGACTCAAGATCCAATTTGTTTTTTTTCCCCCAGTGTATGACCTAACTTTGTTCGACAGATTATTATCCTGTTGAAAATTCGGTTACGCGAACCAAAAGTTTGGTTTGACGAACCAAAAATTTGGTTTGACAAACCGCATTAGTTGGGATAGTATGCGGAACACTGAACTTTGGTTCGTACGACCGAACGTTTTTCATTCAGTGAAGTGGTCCATCCTCGGTTTTTGGAGCAGATTCCCTGATTTTTCCCTGACATTTTTCATTCCCTGACGAATCCCGGTTGTTCCCGGCCTAGGCATCATCATTGAGAGGCACTCTAAGACACTCAAGTGGCCATGAACATTTTTTTGCTTCATCTGAAAGTGCTTAGAAAGCTGATTTTGCAGTATTTTTTATTATTTTTTTCGGCTATGGGAAATAGTATAAAAATAGATTTTAAAAAAACCAAAAAAAAAAAATTGAGAAAATGCGCCGCCCAGTGACGTCATCTGACTGCATTTCGTATATAAACGCATCTCCTCCAATACTTAATAGAGATGTTGCATTGCATGTGTGAGGGATTTGCGATTTGACCATTGATTCTTATGTAAAAGTTCGCGAGAAACACGATGATGCCACTGGTTTTCTCTGAAATCATCTCCCGAGCTCAAAAAAAGCTCTCAAGTTGAGGCCAAAATGGAGGGGATATCCCACCCTACCCTGAGAGTCCACCTCTACATCAAAACAAGCTCTCCGTGCAAAGATAGGGAGCAAATACATTGACAGGGTTGCCACTTTATTTGGGGACTCCAAAACTGAAAACACGGCAGCCCTGTCAATGTATCTGCTCCTTATCTTTGCATGGAGAGTTTGTCTTGATGTAGACGTGGACTCTCAGGGTAGGGTGGGATATCCCCTCCATTTTGGCCTCAACTTGAGAGCTTTTTTAGAGCTTGGGAGATGATTTCAGAGAAAACCAGTGGCACCATCGTGTTTCCCGCGAACTTTTACATAAGAATCAATGGTCAAATCGCAAATACCTTACACATGCAAAATCTCCATTGTTCAATTTACGAACCAAGGGTATCCTCGTGTTCAGCTCACTTGGTAGCGTCCATTCGATCATCGATTCATCAAATTTCAGACACCTGCAAATTCTCCATTGTACGGAGCGGCACTATTGCGGACACGCTGTCCATCGGTACATCATCGCGCCGACCTCTTCATGAACGTCGTCGCGTCAAAAGGCCGCGGGCGAAAATGCTACAACTTTGACATTTTGAACACCGCCGCGGCCCGGGTGGCGGATTTTCAGGGATCGATATCATAACAACTATCCGTCGCGACGTCGGAGAAATCGATGGGATGGTCGCGGTCGGGTGTCGGAACGTCCGACTTGTCGTGGGTGCGGCGCTTTTTGACGCCTTTCCGGCTGCCGACCGCGATTAGACGCGCCTTCAGAATCGCCGCACGCAGCCGGGCCGACACACCACACTGAAAAAAAACCTCGGCCGAGCTTTAGTGTTGGGGATTTTTTCAAAATAATCGATTAATCGAATCTATTCGATTATTTTTAAGAAAATCGATAAATTCGATTAAAATCGACCAAGCAAAATCAATTTTTTAAAACAACGATTGAAAATCGAAAAAAATAAGCGCGCCGAGAGATATTTCTTTGTGGAAACTCGGTTTAAAGCGGTCTATCTTCGCTCAAATCGATTTTGCTGATAAAAATCGATTTACACGATTATTCGACTCAGAAAAATCGATTCAATTTTTCCGTTTATTTTATTGAAAAATCCATTTTGTGAAAAAATCGATTAAAAATCCGCAACACTATGGAAGCTGTACGCCGCTTAGTGCGGCATCCTTATGGTCGATGCGGACAAAAATCGGTAAAAGACAATTGACTTTACAGGATGAAGATAGTAGCACCGACATAAGAAAACTCTTTGGCGCTCTCAAAGTAAAACACTCGAGGAATAAGAAAATGTTACCTCAGGATTTTTTTGCGTATTTTTCGAGAAAAGTTCATTTGAGGTTGGCAACCTCGAATTAGCTCTACGATAACAATGTAAAAGCAACGTGATAATACCCAAACATTAACTTCAAATATCTCCGATAGTCGCAAGATCTTTTTGGTAGAATTGAAGTTGGATATCTGAGGATTCAGAAAATGTCAACCACCCAGAGCTTTTTGCGTTTCAAGCGAGAAATCTTCATTTGAAGTTGACGTCTTTTCCCCGTGTATTTCTAATGGACCATAATGATTCTCGACCTAAGTTCCGCCCACTTTCTACCCAAAGAAGTATTTTTCAGCGAAAATTTTGAAAATGAACCATCATAGTGAGTCAGAAATATCTTTAAGATGACAAACTCCAAAAAAAAATTATTCGGAAGTCGAGTTGTGAATTTTTTATTTTTGTCCACGGAGGGCCGCACTGTGCGCCGTACTTACGGGCTATGTAGACATACCGTCCGCGCTCCGGGCTCATAGGCCGAAAGTTCCGGGCGTAGCACCTGGAGCAATCGAAGCTACGGCTCCAGCACCCGGAACTTTCGTCCTCTGAGCCTGGAATAGACGGTATGTCTATGTATAAAGCCCTAAATTAGAGAAAACTTTAGTTTCTCGCCAGGGAATGAGCATGGTCAAGAATGTTAAAAAGTTCCGGGCGTAGCACCTGTAGCAATCGAAGCTACGGCTCCAGCACCCGGAACTTTCGTCCTTTGAGCCTGGAATAGACGGTATGTCTATGTATAAAGCCCTAAATTAGAGAAAACTTTGGTTTCTCGCCAGGGAATGAGCACGGTCAAGAATGTTAAACATCGTGATTATGGAGCGTGTCATGTGTGAAATTTTACGAGATTACACGATGGTGCCAGGGAAGCATGACACGTAAGGAAAAAATGAAAGATCGGATATTTCATGGAATTTCACGAGGCTGTGAAATATTTTTCAGGGGCCACAGTATGACAGCCGCACTCAAACACACAAAAATAGAAGAAAAACTTTACAACTTGAGATTCATAATCATACAGAATATTCTGCTTTAAGTACAGAGTAAAAATTCCAAGAGAGTTTTCAAGAGGATACATTGACTACTTTTCCAAAGAATAAATTAAGTATCACAGGAAGTCTGCAACATCGCAAACGGAGATTCATGGTATCGCACTTTGATCATCGATGTACTCATGTTTTCCGAAATTTGCTGCCTGGTGCCATGGCACCGTTGGCCCTCCCCTAAATCCGGCTCTGATTTTGGCCGTCGTAAATGATTCTCATTTGGACTCATACGAGAAAGCTGTCATTGTTTTCTTGGCTTTGAATCAAATCTGCTGAGAAGTTCGGCCTCGTCAGTGCGAAGCATTGTATAGCCTCAGTCTACTGCATTCAAGACCATTGCAACACCAACAAGCGACGACGCAACCAACACCAAGATGAATCACAGTAAGTTGCAACCAGTGGAGAAATCAGCCTCAAACTTGGCATTCGCAAAATATATTTGCGGTTGAGAGTTCATGGAACACTAGGGTCCTAGGGACTACTGCTGCTAATGAACGTTTCTCTTTGTGTTCATTTAATTGTATCGTTCTTACTATCCTAACAAGTGCATTCTCTAATCAGAGGCTGACCCTCATCGAAATCAGACTCCCAAATTTGAAAATCTACATAGAAAATAAAAATAAGATTCTTCTTAAAGTCAAACACAAATCACAAAATAGAGGTAATGTCATCCCTGCTTTCTCTGGGATAGAAAAACAAATGATAAAAGAATAATAACCGCTGAACTAAATGCCAGCTAAGGTGATCATGCTGGATGTCCCATACCCTTCTGCGGTGTTCCCTGGTGTGTCTGCAACTACTGAGAATTAATGGGTAAAGTATTGCCGGACTATCGCTCTGGATAAAACGATCGTCGAAAACGAAGTTTTGAAAGAAAAATCGAAAACGGGATACTATGTGAGCAGGCAAATCATTATTAGACTGTTGCTGAATGCGGTCAGTACTTCTGTCATGGAGGTAAGTATGGGTAACCACCTGTTCTTCAAACATGCATTAAGATAGGAAATTATCGACAGAATTCGCTTACCAAACGTTACGATATTCTTCAAAACGCCTCCTCTGGCAAATTCACGCGGTCAAACACCGACACGACGAACTGACGGCAAAAGTTTGATATCAAAATTTCTTCACCCGATAGGTGATAAGCTTACAACGCCATGTAAGACTTTCGTTCTTCCGCCATCAATTAAAACATTAACTTCTTATCAAACTTCTTTCACTAGACTACAAAATATTCTTCAGATATCCTACTTTATGAAACGAACACAAAAAAACGCCGACACGATCAATTTTAAATGAAATTTTGAAGATAAAAGCAGATATTTTCGGCCGGCAACTTACGCATGCTAACGAAACTTTTACGTTGTTTTCTTTATTCAGCCAATCAGATTGTCAGGTTTGTCAATGACGTCAGATGATTTTTTGCACAGTACGCCAACTTTTCAACTTACAAATACACTACTTTTAAATTGGAATACATTATGTCAGTTCTTTGAAGTTATTATTATATCACTGAAAAATCAAATAATATCATTCCTTGGACGTGTAGTTTTTGTTGTTTCTGTGTCTGTCATATATTTTACTGTGATTTTATTCTTATTCAGGGTAAAACTTAAGCTTTGTTGGTACTTGGCATTGTTGTTTACATAAAAGCTAGGTTATATTCAAAAGTTCGCCGAATTTGATGATTAATTGTGTTATCACGAAAATTTGCCTTTATCATTGGTAAGCAAATGTTTTATTAGTTTACATCGATATTACCTCATTCCTAGCTCTGAATTCTAGTATTCTTTTTGTTCATCGAGTACCAAGTACCTTTACACTCATTCCACTCGTCAGGATGCTCCGCACCCTCATCCTTGACTTTGTTGCCCTCTTATCATTCTCATCACTAATCCTCCGGAGAATTGACTTAAAATATTCTGGATTATTACCCAGAATATAGGAAATCATCATATTAATGTACATAGAAATTATTTTGCAGTGCCTTTTTTTTGAGCACGTACACTTTTGAATGAGAGCAAAGATGAGAGCGTATCCATTGGTTTGATGCTGAACAATGCATTCCTTTGGCACGTAACGAGTTTGACAGTATTTTTATAAAATATCCGCACCAGGTTGTTCTCAATATAGAAAGGATACTGAGGAAGATGTTAGAAGCCTTCCAAGTATTGCCAACAGCGGTGTGTTTTGCAACCTTGAATTTTGGTTACTTATGTCATTTTCATCATATATCCGCTTCCTCATCCTTTATTTGTTTTTTACAGTCTATGGTATGGACAGCGTTATCAGTGTAGAGGGGAGACTTCTTGATATTGTCGATAAAGCTTGGCGAGAGGATACTTTGCCTCACGAGGATATAGAAGTACCGCAAGATGAACTCCCAGATTTTGAAGCAGATAACGGTGACAGTCGCTTAACAGTGAAAGAGCAAGAGAACAAGTGGTCTGATTTGGCTTTAGGCACCCTCTGTGATCAACATCAAGGAGGCAACTGTAAGTGTACATTTTTTTGTATCCTGTCAAGAATTAAAACGGCCTTGCAATATTTTCATGCCCCATTGAAACCGAGTCATGCATAAAAGGCAGAAGTCTAAAGACTCATCAGCCCTAGCCTATGTCATGAATAATATCTACCATGTATTGTCGGTTTTTGTTTTTTTTTCATGTGACAAGTCCTCAAATTAATCAAATATTCTGGCATGTAAAAAAGCTGGGAGTTTTCGGACTTCCACTCTTTTGGGGTGAGCGAGGACAGGAATATCAGTTTAGCCGTTCCCCGAGATGAAGTTGTTTTTACTTTGTATTTTTGGTAAATTATTTTGTTTTATCATGCTGCAATGTACATGCCCAAGTCCTCTTTTTTTGAAAAGTTCTCTCTCAGAAGAACTAACTTAATTTGATGCATGCCCGGATTTACAGGTAGGTTTTTTAAGCAATTACAAGGGGCAGCATATTTTGGAGGAAAAAAAAAACTATCTCAGAAATTTTTTTTTAGTAACAGCTGTGCAGGTGAGATAGTCTGACAAAAATTGCTCCAAAGGGCTATCATTTTTAAAGATCTGCCAAGGGAAGCAGAGACTTACAACGCAGATTGTGTGAAAAGTCCCATGATTTTCTCCTGCCGCAACCATCATGGGTGAGATAATTCTACTTGCTTCAGGACGGAAAAAAACCAAATCCAGGCATGATCTGGAGTGGAACACCGCAGTTCTCGGTCAGTGTAGTTGAGGTGGAAGGGTCAGGATCTTGGCCAAATTAAGCTGATAACAATTTTAACGGCAATTTTCATTTTATTTGTTCCAGAGAATCATGGAATTTCCTAATTTAGGTGCTCAATGTGCTGTTCCAACCTGCAAACAACTTAATTTCCTTCCAACAGAATGCGATCACTGTCATTTGGCCTTTTGTGGAGAACATTCATTCGTAGATCACCATGGATGCACCAAGTTTGAAAGCAAACAGGTCCAACCAGAAGAGGTAATTGTTATCAAAATAAATTCTAGCGGTAAATCTTTGATGAGTCAATTGGACTATTTTTTCCAATTAGGATTTAAAATTTCTGACTTAACTGTTAAAACACATATGAGCATAGGGAAACTAATGTTACATACAGTGTTTCTAAACTGAGCTGGACATTATAGTGCCCAATTGCAAAATTTAGACCACTTGTGTTGGTATGTTGCACTTGAACTTCCACCAGCAATGAATGATGGCTAGTAACATTTTTTTCCAAAAAATTATTTAATAATGAGAACATTATGCTAAGTGCCATGGTTTTTCAATTTGTCCGCATCTTAACCACTCATGGAGCTGTTAACAAGTTTAGTCATCAGTCTAAGAAAATGTGAGCAAAAACGTCATGAAACAAGCTGAATCGAAATAATACTCAAACTTACAAGAAAAGCTTTATTTACTCTGTTTACTTCCTGCGTTTGAGTTTATTAATTTGGTTCTATGCACATCATGATGTTTTTGCTTCAATTCTGACACTCAGAGTTTTTTACTTCAGATTTTTCAGTTTCTGTTGTTATTATCATAAAGTTGTTGGCAGCCTTGAAAACCAGGCAAGTGAGGGTATTTGAACATGAACGAATTTGGCAACCCTGTATTATAACGAAAGTGTGTCCAATCCAAAACTGAGGATGTTTTCAAATCATGTATTACAGTTGTCCTTTGTTTGGTTTTAACAGCTACCGTCAGCGGAGAAAAACTATCACAAATGCTCTTTTGAGGGATGCTCCAGTTCTTCGCCAATTGCAATGATTTGTCCCCATTGTCGGATACATTTTTGCCTTTCGCATCGGTACCACGGATGTATGGATTCTAAAGAGCAGCAAAAAGACAGGCGTCGAAAGGAGTATTTGAAAAAGAAGGTCACTCAAGAGAATTTCAAAACAGCCAAGGAAGAGACTGATAAACAGGCAAGTTGAGTCCTTAGCATTGTATTTTTTCCTACTTAATGCTCCTCACATTATTAAATTTTGTCTTAGTTAATGGTACAAGATGAGAATACGGAGAGGAATTCAGAAACCTCCCAACTACGCAGTCATGGTTGCATAGCAACTCGCACAAAAAAAGGAAATGCTATTAAAATTGATACTGGCCAGCCAGCAATAGCATTAAAATTGCGTGTCTTTTCGAAAATTGTGATGAGATGTGCAAACTCTTTGCAAAATTGCAGGAATTTGTGATTGAAGGACAAAATGATGGTCATAGCTTTGAAAATTTTGAGAAAAAGGGTTTTTACAGTTGGGGGGAGGGGGGTCCAATTCAAATAATGGGAAGGCTAAGAACTTTCTCCACCCCTGTTGTGAAATGACTTCATGAAATAAGATAGTTGTATTAATTTATTCTGCTGTGTTCCATGCCAAGTATGAACCACGATTGATATGCCTGTGACTGTTAAGGAGAAAAAAGACCTAATAAAGAAACTGGAAGTTGCGTTATTGGCGCTAATCAAATAAGAGGATGGTTTTTTAACATTTTGGCATTACCTATAAGTGCTGAAAAGTATAAAACCTAACAATATTTTCCATGAAAGTTTGGAGTTCACCCTGATGAAAACATTCTTTTGAGAAACGGCTATTTATAGTTTTTAGCTACCTCATTCAGGGCTCAAAATTTTCATATTAAAAAATAACTTTACACCCTTATCAGCTAGAAAATGAACTAAATCTTTTGGCGCATACTTTTTGGGGTACTAGAAGACATTTATGACTAAAAATTTAGGTACAAAATTTTAAGTAAACTGAATAAAAATGCTCCTTTGAAAAATTTGTTTCTGTACTTGGAACTCCCTTTTTCTGTGCTCTGATGCATATTATAATGGTATACAATTATTTGTCTTTCTTAGGTGGAGATGAAATTGCAAACTGCTGAAAAACAACCAGAAAAAGCAGCAATGGTACAAAAGATCCGCTTCATGAAGATAAAAAGTAAATCTTTAGGTGATAATAAAATACCAGGAAGTGACAGAGTGTACTTCTCAGTTCATCCACCGTTAAAATCAGACGTAAGCAAAAGTACCCCGTTGTTCGGAGCAAAGGATTACACAATTGGAAAGGCCATAGACATCTTTGCATCAAAACTTAAAGTGTTAAATGAAAATCACAAAAAAGAGGCCCCTAAACTCAGATTATTCAAACACATGACAGGCTCAATTCTTACGCATGACATGAAGGAAACAATCGATTCCCTTTTGAAAAAAGATATTGTATATAATGGGGATACTTTAATCTTAGAATATGTCAATGTTGAGGATTTAGACAATAATACCCCAACTCTGAAAGATCTTGATTCACTAAGCAGATATACTGGGTCGACTGTGTGAAATATTATCTACCTGTTTTTTCTTTTGTAATTTGATTTTGTTATGTTTCAAGTTTAGAAAAGTTTTAAAATACATTCTCAATCTTTCTTCTCTTTACTCAAAAAGTCTAATTTGCATATCCTGGTTTTTTGTTTAATTTTTTTTTTTTTCAATTAAGTTGAAACAATCTGAGAATTCATGTGGATTTCTCAATCAAATTTCTCAGTCATTTTAGCAAGTCGCTGTTCTAAATCATACTGGGAGGGAACTTAGCCACAAAGATGCAGAAAAACCATTTTCCTTTAAATTTTGGTAGGAGCTTATAACTATCAGCTACAAAGTTTTTCCTCTCTGAAAATACGAGTAAATACTCATCTCCTGACCAACTTTTCTTAGTTAAAGTAATTTAAATGAAGATAGTTAGAAGATAAGTGGGGCTGAAAAGTGAATTTTCCAGCATTTTCACGCACAATATGTAGTAGGAATGCTGCAATATCTGATCAGTTATTGAAGAGATTTTTTGTTTCATGCTGGAAGATAAGACGGACGAAAAATTATATGCTGTCCACACACACATAGTAACAAGTTCCGTTCGCCATCTCTGGTAAAAATCGTTTGAAAGAAGGCCGGAAAATTCACTTTTTACCCCACCTTTTCTCGAGATTGGCACGTAGAAAGTTCGATTTTAAAAGTTCATCAAGCTCAGGAGGTGATAAGGAACATCATATAAAATACAACTGGAATTTAGCCGGCAAAAATTCTCAGTAAAGATTGCATAGTCCTTTTATGACATGTACATATATCGTCACCTTCCAGGCAAAGTATCACAAGCGCCATGCGACGTTTAAAAATTTCCGCCGCCATTATATTTTTTTACAGAGAAATTGTACAACGAAGCTGTCCGAAAATTTCACTGAATTTTCTTTGTGCTGCCGATAAAATTTAGTGAAATTTCCAAACAGATTCAACCAACAATTTCTCAGTAAAGAAATAAAATGGCGGCGGAAATTTTTAAACGTCGCATGGCGCTTGTGATACTTTGCCTGGAAGGTGACGGTATATTCTGTGTGCATCTTTAAACAATTCAGTCTGTCAGTTCGCTTTTTTGGAGTGTAGTAAAATGAAAAAGGAAACTTTAGCAATTACTTATATGAAACATAGTTCCTTTTTGTAGGATATAACCTAGCATGGGAAGGGATATTCATCACAAAAAAGGCTTCTCACTCAAGAATTTGACAATATTTGGGATGCGGCAGAAGCCGTTTCAAATGGATTTATGCTATTGAAATAATTATCTTCATTTTAGAGCTTCAAAAGTTTCTTTAGGAAGTTAGAACGAAATTGACTGGTCTACAATAATTATTTATTTACAAAAATTAAATTTACACAATGATCTACAAATTCATTAATTAAGTACAGTGTATTACTGCTTATAAAAATAGTAAAATATACTGAATAAACTTTCATTACGAAACTTAACACAGAAGAAAGAAAAATACCTACTTGATAAAAGATGAGGAAACTTTCCAGATAAGATAAATTTTCTCTGTTCAACTAAACTTGCAGTCTTAAAAAGAATCATAACAATTGGGTAGATTTTTGAGGAAAACACTATCAAACATAATGACTAAATAGGTGCATGAGGAAAACTTAAATTATTTTACTCCCAGTGATGATACGATTCACAAGTTTTGGAAGACTTATAATACACTCGGGCCAGATATAGCAGAGCAAGACAAAGTACATGGAAAAGTACATTTATAAAAGCAACTATCATTCGACGGAAATGAGAGGCAGATATGTCGCTTCTCCACCAAACTTGGTCCATTTATCTACGTTTACAAAAGTTTCAATGCCAAAAATAGACACAATTTTCAAAGAGAAAAAGTTATCCAATGATGGACTTCTTGAGTTTAAGCATCGTCCTTTATTACTGGATTTAACCTAAGGGAGCAACATTTTTGAACAGATAAGACAACTCTTGCAGAGTAAAAACGCAACAACCAAAGTAAAATTATTTTACGTCAATAGCTGACTTTTCCCAAAACATTCCTGTAATGTGCGCTTCAAGGCTATCCATAAAATATATGATGCTGAAAATTTAATTTTCTTACCTCCCTCTTCTCCTAACACACATCTACACACACAAAAAAATTATTTAACGCCCTGTAAACAGAAAAAATTCAGTGGTTAACTATCACATATCTCTGATTATGATGAGGAATCGACCCAAAAGTGGTAAATTATTTTTGTAAGTGAAGATTATGAGTTCTAATTGATTTTTTTCTGTTTACAATGCTTACTTTCTGTTGAAAAATAAGAGTTGTTTAAAACTTGCATAACATAACGCATTATTTGACCTTCCTTCCTCAAATTAGCGTCTTAGGATGAATTTTTGATGAAAAATCATTAATTCGCATGTATTTGTTGTCTTGGATTTCCGAAAAATCAGCACTATAAGCCCATTTTATCGATACACAACTAATTTTAAGTCCTTGACGCCCTCCTCTTATGATGTTCCTGTATGCAGGCTCAGACCCTCTCTCCTCTTAGAGCATTACATATTTTAAGAACGGCCCTCACACATGGACATTCGCACAACGCTTAGATTACAACCAGCAGGTGAATAAAAAGGATAGGAATTTTTCCTTCAACATTTTCGTAGGATCCTGAAAAACAACTTTGAGGTTTCTCCAAATTAACATTTCAAAAATGACCAGAAATCAGAGGAGACGCCTGAAATTATTTTAAAGAATCAAGAGAGGACTCAATTTTTTATTTTAAAAATTTACAGGATAAACTCTTAGTAAATACGGTTCTGCAATTTGACCTATTCACCCTGAAGACATAAGAAAACTGAAATACAATTGCACTATCTTCAGGTCTTTGATCCACTCTTGCAATGACTGAGACCCTCAAATTCAGAGATTCTAATTCCTAACTTTTCATGCGTCAACCAACTTGCATATTAAATGAATCACTTAGTTGATGGTACGCTCATTCTAATTTGAGACCATGTTTTTCAATATATTTTTGACGAGCTTCTGCAATTAAGGCTGCTTTCCTTTCCTGGAACGCTGTCATCCTAGACTGTGGCGAACTAGAGAAAATTGAGGCATTTTGGTTTTGAGGCTCCTGAAACAAAAAAGACACTTACAGCTTGAAAGTTGAAATCAACTACAGATTTCATGGCAGAATGATGGAATTGTTATTGATTTTTTCTTGAGCTAATAAGAGCGTTACATTTCTCCTGATGTCACTTAAAAATTATGATGAATCCATTAAAAAAATCTAAAATTTGCAAGTTTAAAAATTTATGGTTTCCAGAAGTATGTAATTACAAGAGTATAATTGTACNACGTAGACTCTTGGTATTCACTGCACATAAACTAGAGACCCCCAGAATGAGAAACAACTTTAAATCATAATTATTGACGGATAAATAAACTTTTTACACGCTTTGGAAAATCTGAGAAGTTCGCGGTAGTCACTTTTCGGTAAGGAACTAAGGGACTCGGTTATTGTATCGAGCAGGGTTCGAAACGATCGCAAAGGCGGTATACTACGTATACGCGCCAATTGTACGAATTGTAAAAAGAGAGATTTTTCACTTGCACTTCTCGACACTGGCTCATAGAAAATTCGGAGTTTAAAAATTAATGTGCTCAGAATATTGTAAAGAGTATCATATATAAGGTAAAAAAATACAGGTAACACTGAATTTTTCAGCAGATCAACAATGAAAATGGCTTTTTGTAAAATTATATGTCCTCGGAACTGTAAACTTCAAACCGACTCAATGCAGGTTTGGTTGGGTGCCTATTTTTTATACCAAACAGTATGTTAAAGATTACTCCGACCAATCGTGCCAATACCTCACTTTTGAGTGTTACAGCATGACGGCCTCTATACCTAAATCTCAGAGCTTTTTGAGAAGTAAGATCAACTCTTATCTTACAACAAAATTAAAATATAGATGAAAATTTTGAAACGGTCGCAATACTGCTGCTTGTCTTTGGCCCAACCCGTTGATACCAAGTGCTTTGAAAATGTTGCGCGTACCTTGCTAATAATTTTTTGTTTATTGACAGAGTTATTTCCAGAATCCCCAGACGCAGAGGGTGCGATTGATGGATCTTCTAATATACTAGAAATAGTCATATCCACATTTTTGTGATTTTTCACTGAAACAGAAAGAAATAATTTATCATGAAGAATGGGAGCAAAATTAGTGACATCTCATACTTGGATCAATTGAAAATATTAAAAAAAGATAGTGCAGTTAACAGCATTTATGTGGAGGCTTAGAATTTGCTGCTTAGTACTTGTTGTTCATGGATGTGCATTGTAAAAAAGAGTACGAGAAAATTTCCGTAAACTGTGGAGGCTTAGAATTTGCTGCTTAGTACTTGTTGTTCATGGATGTGCATTGTAAAAAAGAGTACGAGAAAATTTCCGTAAACTAAGTGAGGTCTCAATTTTTCAAAGTGTCAAGATTAAAAATTACTAAACAATTTGGATAATCAAGACTTTCCAGCTATATTCGTCTGATGTGTTCCTATCGGAGCAAAACCAGTGGCGTTCCATCAACAGACCTGATTCCTTAGCCCACAGTGAACTCTCCTCAATTGAGAAACTCGAGAGTAAAGCAGAGCTTTACCAAAAACGCAAAAAATGACTGGAAAAAGTTTAAAACATATAGGTAAACAATCTACAGCCATCAAGGAACTTCACTCTTGGCTTACTGGACAGTTTGATAAACGATTGTTTTTCAGTTTGTAATTTTAACATACAGAAAAAACGAAAAAGTAGCAATATCTACTATGAAAAATCTTTTTGCAATTCACGTTGCTTCCCCACAAACACCTCTTGTTTATTGAATGACTAACCTTAAGTCACTCCATTCTGAGCAAACTGAATTATTTCACAGTGTGCTGCAAGTAAAAAGAATAGTGAGGAAAATGAGTACAACTTACAAAGTTGCTTCACAGCAATATCTAATGGAACGTGCGGTAGCACCTGAACAACTTGGTATGCTTTTTGAAGAACCTCTGCTGATACATCGGGTCGATTCCGTACCACAGTCGGTGCGTTAAGCTCTAACAGATACCTTTTTTCATACTCCCTCTAAAACAGGAAAAAACATTGATGAACACGTTATTGTGGCAAACTGAAGTCCAGATAATCAGGATAAATTTTGATAGAATGACCAGTACAAGACCAATCCATACAGGTTTGCAACAAGGTGGTAAAACAGTGCTGCGTCCACACTATTTTGCAGGGAAAACAAGGACAAAAATTTTGAAAATATTGAGCTCTAAGCACTATTTTACCACCTTGCTCCATACAGTGTCGGCCATGTCTCTTAGGGTTTTTTTCTCGCAGGTCAGTCACTGCACATCTTTTTGATATCCACAACCCCAGATATCCCTTGCACTCTAAATAGAAAAAACTTTCTGAGGAGTGTGAAAACCTGACTTTCCAAGAAAAAAAAGTAGTAATAAAATTAAATGAAGAAGAAAAATAATAGAAACGGAGAGTAAATGACCCAATGATGAATTTACAGCAATGTTGCTGGAATATTTACCTTGTCTTTAGCTGAGTAATTGGTAACACTGATGTTCAAACTATCTGCAATTGATTTTTGCAGTCGCTTGGCCAGGGCTTCGTCCGTTTCGTCCGTGTTTCGCTCGATTGTTGGCAAGTACCTGAGGACAGGAAGAGACAAAATGAAATTCTTTAAGCCTGTGACTGTTAAGTTACCCACATAAATTAATTTAGAAATTTTCCTGCCTCAATTCACTGATGAAAAGGAATTCCCTTACTTTCACCCAATTTTGGGGAATAGGAATGTTGTTTGAAAGTGTAGGTCAATGGTGCGGAACTTTCCGAGACTCTATTCATTCGTTGGTTTCTTATGGCAGGTGCAAAAATTATTTAATTTTTCTAAAATGACTCTGATTTGAGCCAATTTTTCGGAACATTCCTGAATGTATGCAGGTTTTTGTAACTTTCTCCTGTTTTTTGAGGGATAATTAGTCCAATTTTCCCAGGTTTTTTCATTCTTTTGGTTTTGTTTTTGAGCACATTAAATTTCTCGGAAGTTCATTGTAGTTTTAGTTCCGTAGGAAAACTTCTGATTTCCCAGGTTTTCTTAACTTATTAAAGCTGTTTACAAGTTTCCCGCTATACCTCAGGCTTTCAAAAGAAGATTTTCAAATAATTCCAAATTTTACCATACCTGTTTTTACCTCATTTGAGAAAATTCTACTCTTTTAGATTTTGGAAACTTCTGCTTTGAGTGGAATATATTGAGTTTTTAAGGCTTTTTTTACTTTTGAAGAAAGATAAACTAATATTTTCTTGATAACATGGCGCTTTCTTAATAATTCACTGATTTTCTGGATGTTCCCATACCAATAGCTTTTCCTGAGAGAGGGGTCTGATTTTTTTGGTAATCCTGGTAGTTTGTAGTTCTCTCCATCATACAAGTTTGTTTCTAATTAGAATTACCTAGAATATAGAAGCTCTTCACTTTACATAAAGTTCCAGCTAAGTGCAGACGTATTTTGTTTCGCCATAACAATACGGAACTGCTTGTAACAAACATATTTTGTTGGGATTTAGTTTGTGTTGAGGGGACATGGCTTCATTTTATTTCTTATTCTAATCGTTTTATTCCTTGCATAAACTGGCAATATTATTGCAACTTTGTTGCGGAACAATTGTACTGCTTTTGAAGCATGTTACAGCAAAAGACCTCTACTTCTAGCTTTCCCCCTCTACCTTCTAGCCTCACTTCTAGCTTCTCCGCTCTTCATGATTGTGAAAAAAAGGTGCAAATAACACAAAATCTTTTACAGAAAACAATTATTGCAAACAATACATGTTTTTCTTCACCTATTCCAGGACAGATTTGGACGGAACTACAATATTATTGCGTATCCTCTAAAACTTGGAGAAAATATTCAACATGTACCTGATAGAGAATGCCGTCCAAGGAGTCAACAGAAACCAAAAGAGATCAGAGTACCACGAAGCACCGAGATGAGATATGTTTGTCTGAACAAACCACGGTCGCCAGGCATGAATCACTGCCGGTTGGATTCGATCGCTCAGTGTCATAGACCAATCGGAAAATCTGCGAACAATTCCACAAAACACTCATTGAATTGACGATAGAAATCCTCTCAGGAAGGTTTCGATGACAAATCTCTTACAGACAAGAGATACGGTCAACTAAGTAGGTGTCTAGAACGTAGAGTCCAATGAAAATCTTGTTGAACGCACAAGAAAAGTCTAAGATTCACTACTCAGTGTACAATCAGCACACTTTGAAGCACTCATTTTCAAATTTCCGACAACCACCGACACTTTTTGTTGGTTGCCGGTGACTAGATTTGTTGACAGAGATGTAAGGAATCCTAACTAAAATAAAGAAATGAACTTGCGAGCTGCTATCAATTTTTTTGGTCATATGAGAAAGACAGTAAAAAGATAAGAAAATCTTGCATTTAATTTTGCTCATTTTAAAGCATTCATTCAGAAAAAGACAACTACAAAAACTTTTAGACGACTGAGATTAAACTTGGGATGGATTGATAGTAGCTGGTAGGCTTCTTTGTTTAGCTTTGTTTTTGAACTGCAATAGGTTTTCTTAAATCTTCTTCTTCGGCAAATTTCAAATTCACACAATGCCTGCAGGGATATGAAAATGCATGACACAGACTGTAAAAGCTACGCACAAAGTTTCATGCAATTTCTCCTACGGGTAGGGCTGTCCTCGAAACGTTTTTTTGCTCGTTCGTTCGTACGAAACGATCGAGCGATCATTTCGTTATCGTTCATTTCGAAATGATCTGTTCAAAAGCCTGTCTCGTTTCGATCGAAATCTGTTTCAATCAGAATCAGTTACAGTTGTATCAATTAGTGCAATCTCATGAGGATTCCCGTGGGAGTTGCATCCGCCCCTGATAAAAGCTCTAAAACGCTTCCCGAAGAAAGTTCACAGGATGAGAGGATCCCAGCTGGCTAACATCTTCCTAGTTAAACAATTCTGGAAAAAACAAGACCAGGTCCCACATATTTTTACACAGTGATTACAGACCTACTTACTTTTAGAGCCAAAGAGAGACATTCCCGAGAAAATTTTCCGGGAACCCTTGTACCCGTTTTGTAACTTTCTAAGGAAATAGATCTCTACGGAAACAGGTCTTCAAACAATGATCGAAATAATCGCTTGCTCGCTCGATCGGTTCAGGAACAGGCCTACCTACAGGTAGTATCAGTTCGCTGTACCTGGTGGATTGATTCACCCGAGACTCTATGTCAAAGAATTTGGCAGTCGATCTTTTTTTGAACAGAATGACTGAATTGTGTATTATTTCTGTTCTGATGGTCTGAAAACATTCAAGATAGAGAAACATGACACAAGAGAAAAAGGTTTCAGTCTTCTTTCATTTTTACAAAATTCTCAACCATGTTCAAATGACGTTTTAACACCCCAATTTCTGAACACTGGTTTGCGAGATTCTCAGCTATACAGACATTCTACTTGAATTTGTAAAGGAAAACAGAATTCTGCACCCCTGAGGTTTGCCATACTCACTTCAGAAGACCAGCTCTTCCGTTGGTCGTTTCCTCTTCCGGAAAAAGTACGACCGGAATTTTACTTTCTGAAATGTGAGATCGTAAGAAAGACACCATTTCACCGTTGGTTTTTGGTTTAGATTTGGAGCGACTCAGTCCAAGAATAAACGACAGCGGTGATGGGAGCTCCCAGACGCTTGGCTGAAAGAAAGCAAGACAAGTTTCAGATTTTGTATGTAAACAAAATTTAACTATCAAAAATTGACTCATGTTGCTTTATAGGTACTTATTACAGCTTGTCAGGGGGTGGATTTTCAATTTCTTATTGTAGGAATCATATTTTACGTAAAATTTTGAAGGGAAAACTTGCAACAGAGAGTTCTAGTTCAGACCTTGGATAATGCTCTATTTCTGCCCTGCTTTCCGTTTTAAGAAAGAAACTAAGTTGTTAAGATTTGCAGAAACATTCTACTTGGCTAATTAAAAACAAATTTATTTCACAAATCCAAATGAAAGTTTATTTGTGCCATTTAAATATAACTTATCACAGCTTGCTAACTCAAGGAAAGATATGGCTTTTAGAATTGGAAATTTGGAAAAAAATGATAAGTTAACACTTTTTTTTTTTTTTTTTTTTTTTTNTTCAAATAGCCCTCAAGGGCTAATCCCATTCAGTTCCAACAACCGTCCCTAATTTCCCTAACCTACTTTACAATCCAAATTCCTTCCATCTATAACACTTGGGCAACAATTCTCCATCACCCCAATTTGTTTCTTGAAACTTTAACATTTCCCTAACTACCATTTTCTTAAAACCATTAAGATCCAATTGTTCCCAATTATGGCACCCGAACAACACATAGTCTCTCATACCTTTGAAGAAAATCATTTTATCAACTACATTATCCTCACCATACTTGACCTCCACCTTTCTACCTACCTTCCTGACCATTATTTCTATAACATCCCTGTCTAACAATTTTATCATCCCTTTCCTCATCTTATATAGAATTACAAATATCCTGGCTTTAATTAGTAATTCTATACATAACCACCCTAAACTTTTCAACATTTTCAAGATATTACAGTCCCTATCACATCCTAATATGTACCTCATGGCTGCGTTTTGCCCTTTTTGCAAAGCCCTAATCTCTTTACCATTTGCTTCTCCTAGTAAGGACATGCAATAATTTAGTTTGGAACCTACCAACGAGTTATATATTAATTTCCTACTAAATTTCCCTATGAAATCCTTTATTCTCCATAATAAACTAATTTTACTCCTATAGTCCCTAGTTATCCTATCAATATGTTTTTTTAGCTTCAGATCCTCCGTTAACCTAACTCCTAGATACTTGAAGAATGGTTCTAGATGTTAGATCAACAAAAGCCAAGAGCCAAGTGTACCAAGAGCCAGTGAGCCTCTACTGACATGCAGAGTTCTTTAATGAGCATTTTAAGTAGAGCTAAACCAATAAAGAAAGGATTACCGAGATACATCCAGTTAAAATATGAAAAGGGATGCAATCAAATTTTGATACATGATTAGCAACAATGACAGGGGCAGTTTCATCTCTTTCCTCCGACGATTCGTCTTTTTGGGTGCAAAAACCAAGGACAGCAAATAATATTCGGAAACATATGCTGGAAAAAAAAATGAAAAACACGATTAATAAATTAGGAATTTAAAACACACTGAAACGCCTAAATTATGATCCTAGGGCCTAGGCTCAAATTTTGTTGGCTATAGTCGACTGCAAGTTGTAAAACTTAACCTTTAAATTCGACTAAAAGTCAAGAAAATTTAATTCTAGACTCAAGCTAAGCAAAAATTGAGCCTTTTTTACAGCAGGCTCAAACCATCCTTATTACATCAACGATGCTGACCACTAAATAGCTATCTCATGACAAAGTCAACATTCTCGCCTCAACTTGCTGCTGACTGCAAAACTGCCGATAAAATTACAGCCCTGAAGAGTGATTGATAAGGGATATGGAGAAACTGATGGAAGAGAACATTCCTCAACTATTTGATTGAAAAAAACCTTTGCCTGAATAAAATGACATTTTCAGCAACTCTGTGTTAAAACCATGAAGGTTCACACTCTTATCTCTGGGTACTTTCACTGCAAAATTTGATAATTTGTGACAGCTCATGGGATAAGGAGCCTTGGTTACTGAAAGCAAACTTTTGAAGTTACAAATTTTATCAAGTTATGACAAATCTTGGATATTAGAGTTTCTGAAGGAAAACATGTTGTCTAGTATCTCAAGAGTGAGTTCCCAGCAGATTTGTTCATTCTGCCAATAGATCAATTGCGATAGTCGCAGAGTCATATATAGAAGGATTGGCAAAATATGATAAGATAAGTGCTAACACATAATTTCTGTGCCTGATATCAATGGAGATACTGCTCTTTGAAAAACACAGTGTACGACATCATGTATTGCAATAGTGCATACTTACTATAGTTTTTTCCACCTTGGAACCATAAATAGTGATACGAACATTTGCATTGTTTGCTTCACTTAAAACACATATGAAACTAATTGGGTGTGGTGGAAACTTGGTGCTTGGATAGTTTTATTTCTTTCTTTTTTTGGGGTTGATAGATGATTAGAAATCATCACAACATGATTCTAATGGGTTTGACCTTTAAAAGGCAAGAAGTTATCACAGTCAAAAAATGTAAAGCCTTGAGCTAGGTAGATTAAAATTTAAAATTGATTTTTCTAAAAAAAAAAGAAGCTTTTTTTAAACTGCAGAAGTCATGGATCTGATTTGGTTGGATTTTTTTTTTTATGTTTTTTACTAAATTATTCATGAGCCACTCTTATTTGTAATGATCATACTGGAGTCGACACTTAATAAGTTTACACACTTTTAGACTGAAACAGAGGATTGCGTGCCGTCAGCGTTGAAAGTACATTCAAGAATCAAGATGGCAGATCTTCTCTTGCAGTCTAAAAGTGGGTAAACTTATTTGGCGATTTGAAGTTCCCCTGTGAATTCCTAAGGTCCAATTTACCATCAATGGTAACAAATTTTCTCACAAATGAAGCTCACCTACTGAGAATCCTTTTTTTGAACACATGCAAGCATGACTAAAAGTTCTTTATGCATCAAAATAAGTTCTGTAAAAATTGAAAAATGCATAGATTCACCATGATATGCAAGTCAGAACTAACTCAATCTATTCAAACTCTTATTTGAATCTCTAAACTAACCTCCTGATGTAAGTCATGGGTGGTAAAAGAAAAGCAGCGACAAAAACTTGAAGGGTGATGAAAGCTCGTACAATAGCCAAGAAAACACCAAAGGGAAAGTAGATTCCAAGTAATGTGTTTTGGACAGCATTCTGCGAAAACCTGGGGAGAAACAAAATCAGAGGACTATAAGGAGATGAAAGGAAAATTTTTTCAGCCCAAAAAAGTTTATTGGCTTTACAAATAAATTCTAACCAGTTCAAAATTAGGCAACAGCTCTGTAAACACAAGTAATCATGAACTAGGCATGACCAGCAATGAAAAAAGACCTCTTTGATACAAAGAAACATGTACTTAGAAAAAAATTCACCAAAAATTACATTACCTTACACCTCTAAAAGATTCAATGATGAGGGATTTCGAATACATATGAGTAGGTTACTTCATCGAACAGTACAGATTACAAGAACAATATCTGGACAGTTGATACCATTTTCTATCAAGTTTAAGATTAGGTAGCCTTTTTGAATACATCTTGAGCAAGGCATGGTAGAGGTACTCAGTGACTCATTTCGCACGTATGGTTAAGAATATGACCTGTCACTACTCTCTACTGGTGAGCCTGATCGGAATCTTGCATAACTGGTGATGTACGACATAAGTGCTAAAGTGAATAATAAATTGGTGTACCATGTGGATTTAGGATCGTAATGTAAACTACCAGAGGAGCTAATAATTGGAACATACTTCACCACCCTCACATTAGTTGACTGTCCCGATTAAGGATTTAGGCGGAATTTCGACAAGCAACCTGAGAAGACAATCGCACCCAGAACTGTCTTCATTCTGTATCTCTGTACTACGATTTGAAAAGATTCTACTTGGTGGCCGGTGAAAAATTTTCAATGCCATTCCTGATTGCTTGGCAACGTTTAGAAGCTCTATGTCCAAGTAGGACATGTATAAAGCTTTCTTCACTAATAGAAGAATTTGGATTTGCTCCAATTTGATTCCTACAGATAGATTTGTTTAGTAATTTGAATACTGTTAGGATATCCGACTCACCTGGATCTGTCGAATAAGGATCCAATGAAAATGCTGGCAGTCGACATATTTTCGGTTGCTTCACACAAACACTCAAGAGTGAGAAACCGCTGAGGAGCAGCAGATATTTCTCAACCGTTTATGAAATTAGACAAATCGTCAGTGAAACTGACTAAATGAAAATCGAGGGATTACCAGTGATGAAAATTCAATCCACTTCTGACATTTTTCCTTGCCTTATCTTTGATAACTTGAAAACTAACCTCACTTCGGGTCACCCATGAACAACAACAATAAAGCGCTCCCTGCGGACACTGTCTGAACCAGCTGAAACCACGCTCTTTGTTTTGTTTATGGAATGCAAAAATGCACTTTCGGAAGTGCATTCGGCCATAGAATAAATTGCAATTTACGAATCACCTTTTACTCGGCGGAACATGCCTCTTTGTAAGTAACTTTTCATCATTACTCTAAATATTCTAATCCTTTGCTGCAGCATGAGATGATGTTGAAGCCCATTTGAGATGAAAATTCCCTTTGCTTAGGATCAATTTGGATCATGAACTGTCGCTTGAAAGCAAAGGAGACTTCTCTGGAACTAGTCGAAGCATGCACAGAATTTCTGAAGACATAGACTCGGCCCATTCGTGAGCAATGAGTTCTCATTAAATTTCTTGGGTGACTCCTCTAGTGAATCGGAACATACAACAACAGATATACCCTCCTATTTTATTGGTGAAGGGATGAAAGCGTACCTTTGTGTACAGGAGGCAAGATTCATTAAGACTCTTCATGACTAAAATTATCAAGTATTCATTGCTAAATTGAAAGGAAATCATCTGTTCATCATATGAAGTTTTGATACCTTAATCTGTAAGCTGGAGCCTCAAAGAAAAAATAACCAACGAAGCATGTGAAAGGTAGCTAGAATCTGAGAAACAAATTGTCACAATGGTTAGAGCGGACGCATCGTATGTTGAGACAAAAGTTAAGTATTGTTTAGGTCACCACTCATCAGTAGTGCCATCTGACTGCATGTATTAACCTGTTTAGTGGTGCTGATTCGGCGTTAATCAGAGATTGACATTTGTCTCAACATACGATGCGTCCGCTCTAAGTGTAACAGAAGATCAACAGTATTCAGTTGCGTATTGACACTAAATAGAAGAATCAAGATGGTGGATCTTCTGCCGTAAGCTTAAAGTGGGTAGTCTTATTTTTCATGAACGCCAATGCCTCGTCTCGGACTGAAGACTAAGTAGGCCGTATTTTCAGGTTTTGCTCTTCCGCCATGATTCACCTTTTCCTAGTTCAGTCAAATTTGATGACATTAAATCATGTGATGGAGTGAATGTGTCTACTGTGTGATGAACCCTTTCCTTACTCCATTAAGAAGTTAAGAAAGAAGCAGAGCTGAATGTCAGAGAAGAAGCTTTCATTCTCAAAAGAAGGAAGGATAGAAATTTCAACTTTGATTTATCGCACGCCTCTAACATGCTATTTTAATTCATTCTACCTGACATCAGCAGGAAAGTAGTATCGTATGAAAGTAACTAAAGAAAAACTTGCCTAGTCACAGATACTAATGTCACTAGAAATGTTGAAACGTGTTTTGAATATGAATTTTTAAATTATAAAGTTTTAATTGTGTGAGTGAAATATTTTAACATTTTTCGATTTTATTTTTCCTGTTTCAGGTAATAATTTATGCCGGTGGGTTCTGCTCACCCTTCTGCCTACCGCAGTCCTTAGTTTGGACAGAGCAGGGTGAGTCCGTTGAAATATCTATCAGTGGAGCCAATCAGTCGGCCTCCTGTGGTGTAGTGGTTGTAGCGCTGGCCCTATGACCAAGAGGTCCCGGGTTCGATTCCCGGCCAGGTGATCTGAGTTTGATGGTCTCAGGCAATGGTCACCTGGGGCTGGGGTAATAAGCGTGGGATTAGCCAATAGGCTATTTGAAATTGGTAAAAAAAAAAAAAAAAAAAAAAAAAAAGCAGCTCCTGACGAACTTTCGTTTGTTCACTTATCAAGGGTAACCAATGGGGAGTGGCAAGGAATTTTTGCAGAATTGCAGAATAGTTATGCCTTTGCAAATTTTTTGGAAAAACCCAAATGTTTATTAAAACATTAAACTAATCATTTCTAATGGTAGAAAAAGCTAATCAAAAGCCAACAGTCTAGTTGACCAAGCAAGGCGATGCCTGAAGGTGAATTCAGCCATCCAGCAAGTGCTTTTTCCTCCCTCTGGCTATGACATCAGCATCCTCCAATTATATCGTTTCAAATGGGTCCAATTTTTGGCTTTTTTAAAACATAGTTTCTTTGTGATTTGGGGTTCAAACAATTCCTAAAGGCTTAGTTCCCTCCACTTGTAATGTTCTCTATTCTTTAAGTCACAATTTGCTTTTAAACCTTAAATTAATATTCCTCTTGTTGTCTGTTAGAGGTGTGATTCAGCCCTGTCCTAGACCAGCAAAATGTCAGCCCCTGAACACTACACTATGTATGGGAGCCCAGTTAAAATATTCATCTACAACATTGGATCTAATTGATTCAGAAATGACTCAAGAAATAGCTCAGGTTGGTTTAATAAATTTCAGTTTATTCTTAAAATATTTACCTCCACACTTTTGAAAAAGAGAAAAATATATCAACAAATTGTTGCCAAACTCTTTTGTCAGTGTTTCTCAAACTAAGGTACGCAGCATCATGTAGCAGGATTGTCAGCAAACTTACAAGCAAGCTGCTTATTTATATGATCAACTTCAGGTCCCTCAAAAATATTTCCCAGCAATGCGATTTCTCTGTCAATTATCAAAATGATTTAGTCATAGAATTAAATTTGATTTGCCACATTAACACCTGTATTTCCAAAGTGAACCACGAGGCAAGGTATCGAAAGAGACCTTCGAAAGACCTGTTCCCTCATCAAAATTTAACGTTACGGGAAACTTCCAAAATCAACATGCAAAAGAGGAACTGGGTAATATTTGTAATTTACATTATTAACATTAAAATCTTGTCCAAAAAAAGTCACCCCGCAGAAAAATTTTTCCATCGCATAACATTCTGAACACAGTTCAGTGGTTAATTTGACTAGAGTAGGCTTTAAGTTTTTAGAAGCGGAAGGTGTTAACTGATGTAAAAATAAAACACTGCTATATCCTCACCAGTGATTTGGATTTGAGAAGTTTGGAAGTGCGTCTATCGAATCACATGTGAAATTCTGACAAGAAAGTGTATAGTGGTCCAATCTCGTCAACAAAGTTAATTCTCTTCAGTTAAGTGCCGTGTAAAAAAATAGAAATGATTTTAAAGCAGATTCCATGTTAAATAAACTTAAATAATTGTATACTTACTAATTTTTACCGATCATTTGTCTTCCTGTAAGTGCTAAATTGCGTTGAGTATTAAATTCAGTATCTCCAAAATTCTCTTAGCTCAGCAATAATGTATGTGTAATCTTTTCGTTTCAGGAGCATCTAGAAAAATGGAGAGGGCTTATCAGTCTACCCAAGTGTTGGAGTGTTGTTCAGCCCTTTCTGTGTTCATTGTACATGCCTAAATGTGAAAATGGAACTGTTTTTTTGCCATCTGTGGTAAGAGACTCACACTTTCAAGCCTATTACAGTAGTTTTTTTGCAACTATAATGTATTAGAAAGTTACTCTTTCTCAAAAAACACTCAATCCTTTTAAAATCAGAATTTTAATTCCCCGTAATTTATTATAGTATCTGTAGTCAGTAGTTGCTGAATTAACCGGCAGAGGTGCCCTTCAGAGGCCTAGGTACATCTGCCGATGTGTACCCACAGGTTGATTATTGTAATCGATAAACAAAGCGATAGACAAAGGGTAAATAAAGTGATCTTTTTGATGGAAGCGGATGGTTACAATAAACAAAGTAGGTAAGTAATAGACTAACCATCGGCAAATTATGAGAGACCCTATATTTAGTCCATCATTTCCCACTTCAGCCTACAGGAAAGAACCAACCATTCCAACCAATAAGATCGTACCATTTTCCCTTTTGTTTTTTTGCCTATTGATCTGTTTATCAATGGAGAATTTGCACGCAATTTTTTTATTGCTTCATCTGAAAGTGCCTAATGAGCTGAGTTCGCAACATTTTTCATAATTTTTTTCTGACATGGGAAATTGGAGAAAAATTGATTTAAAAGTGAGAAAATGTGCCGCCTTGTGACGTCATCTGGCGGCATTTCCCATTTAAACACATGTATTTTAGCAGAATCGGTTATTTTGTCATATCTCCTCTAATAATTGCTCAATTTATGAATCAAGGGTATCTTCGTGTTCAGTTCACTCAGAGGATTCCACTTAAACAGGAAATTCATCAAATTTCAGACCCTTGCAAATTCTCCATTGCTGTAATGGAGAATTTACATGCAAATTTTTTGTTGCTTCATCTGAAAGCGCTTAAAGAGCTGATTTCACAGTATTTTTCATAATTTTTTTCTGATATGGGAAATAGTATACAAATAGATTCAAAGTGAGAAAATACACAGCCTTGTGACGTCATCTGGCAGCATTTCCCATTTAAAACCATGTATTTTAGCAGATTAGATCATTTCGCCATATCTTCTCCAATAATTGTTCAATTTGTGAAGCAAGGGTATCCTTGTGTTCAGTTCACTCAGTAGTTTCCACTTAAACACGAAATTCATCAGATTTCAGACACCGGCAACTTCTCTATTAGCCCACTGGAACTTGGACTTGCCCCTTGACTCATAAGATTGACACACATCACGTACCCACCAGTCTCCGTGGCTGTCTTTTGAACCAACGATAGGTTTAATTGAAAACTCTGGCACACGCTACTCAGCACAAGATTTCTCGGAGCACAGCATATTCCCACCCAAGTTGGGCTCTGTTTTTTCAATCTCCCATTGACAGGTGGGGCTAGTAGTAGAAAAAGTGACGTTGAAATAAGAATGCTCATAATATGATTTTCAAATTTGGATTTTTTCTCTATTTTGATTTTAGGAAATGTGCAAAAGTGTAACCAGTGCGTGTCGGATTCTAGCTGAGTTCGATTTGTGGCCCTCTTATTTTAGGTGTGACGATAATTCTACCTTTGGAACGAAATGCAAGGTGAGTATAAGTAATCAGACAACTCTGTAATTTTGGATACGAAAGGAAAGGCAGAAATGCATTCCCTTCATTTCTAATTTTCCTGCCAATGATCATAAACTTATGTGTATCATTACTCTTACGTATAGTTTGTATTGCTTGCAAATAATTGTTTTTAAAAGTTAATTTACTGTGGCTTTGTTACCAGTTGTAACCTGTACTACAACAACAACATTCTTATTTCAAGTTGCCATTCTCTGAACTCCATGAAATTGGTTGACCAGGGTGTCTAAAAGTCCGGAAATAGTACTGACTTTTTAAGGGCGGTCTGGAAGTACAGAAAAAGTGCCGAAATTTCGGAAGAAGCCTGAAATTTTTTTTTTTCATTTTTGTCGCAATTTGAGCGAGAAATTCAAATTTTTTAAATTTTACGAATTTCGTCAATTGGGGGTACTAAAAAAGCATTGAATTTTCCCGCTGAGAAGGTACTGAATTTCTCGGGAATGTACTGAAAAAGTACTGTAAAAGTACTGATTTTTGGCCAGCCTGTTTTAGTAGACACCGTGTGATACGTTTTTCTCAGCTGAAAAAACAACAATCATATTTCAACGAGAGAAATATCATGACAATAAATCCCATGGCATCACATGAAGAATTGACTGCTGCATATTTTTCTACCCATGTTTGTTTATTTTCTTTGCAATTTTAATAAGAGGTCATGTATCTGTGCTCGCAATGTCATTGCCACGTGAGGTGAATATTTTTGCTACTTTTCTGAAATGAAATCATTTGCTCCCGATGTGAATTGTATGACGGCCATTTTAATTGAAATTTCAGTTACTTCAGCTCCCAGCTAATGAGTTATTTTGCTTTCAGAATGATGTGCTTGAATTAAAATTCAACACAACTGGTCAATGTAAAGCTCCCCTAGTCCCAGTTGATCAACACAGCTCATACTACGATGGAGTAGAAGGCTGCGGTGTGCCGTGTGATGAGCCGATGCTCACACCTGAAGAGTTGAGCCAGGTTCGTCAGTGGGCAACAGTTGGTGCCATCATATCGGGCCTCTTTAATGGCTTCACTGTGGTGAGTTAAATTTCTTCCATCATTGTTTTGGAATTCTGTATTTGATAGGGGCTCTCGATGATGTTGAGACTAATTGCTCTATTTTCATGTTGTTAAAAATGAATAATCTCTATGACTGAAAGTCCTCATATTTAGAAAGTCTGGAATAAGTTGAGAGTTTCACTACAAGTCTGAAAGATAGGAGGAAGCCTGGAAAGAAGCCTCGCAGGTCCATAAAAATTTTCTAATAATTTTGGACTGCTCCAAAAAAAGCTTTAGACAAGTCGTTATTTTCTGTATGAAGCAACATAACTCCATTGTAAGATTGAAAAATTGACTCAAATTATTTCCTTTTGTACAAGAATGTACCCTTGTATTTTTTGTCCAACATGTTTATGATTTATCTATGCAAACAAAAAAGAATTAGTGAAACTTTCTGTTAGAAATGCCCAAGATTCTCCTGGTAAAAATTTAATTTGCGAGGGGAAATTTGGCAACATTGAAGTATAGTCACCTTCTTTCACGGGGAAACGACAAAGTGCTTGTCAACAAAATTCAAGATTCTCACTGAAAAAGAAAATCACTCGGTCTCCTCATGATATAAATCAATTTTATACTGTATGATTCCATCTATTAATCTGTTTTGTCCCTGGAGTATCATCTTACTTTAGCTCTCTTTTTTCAGATCACATTTTTACTGGATTGGAAATCATCAAATAAATACCCTGCGTTGGTGGTGTTCTACATTAATCTTTGTTTTTTGATAGTCTGCATGGGCTGGTTGTACCCTGTCCTTTTCAATTCTCAGAAGGACATAATTTGTCGCAAAGACAAAACTCTCAGGACCTCCGAGCCAAGGTAAATCTTGATTTGTTTGTTTTTGATGGTCCTCTATCGAACCATCATGGAACTTTTTCTTGTGCAATGTTATCATCTATCCATTAAATTTTAACACTCAATGAATGAAAGAGAATGAGCCGCACTATGCAGTCCATACTAATATTCATAGATCTCCTCTTGGTGCCCAGCAGTACTGAATCTGATTCACTCTAAATCGTCTGAGCTTCAGATAAGACAATAATAGTGAATGCCCTCCTCTGTACTTTTATCAATTTGGCCAAAAGAGTTAGAGATCAGTATATAAAAATCCTTGTGGAGAGGATTTGTTTGAAGTAGGAGGATGCTATTTTACTAACAATTCGAGTTAGCTCCAACAAAATCAGGGGATTGGACAGGATCAAGCAAAATTGCAACTTAGACGTAAATTTGTCCTAAACAGCACTCAACTTAGCAGGGGTTGATTGTATAATTAGTACCAATTTTTGGCCATGTCTGCAGAAAACAGAACTCTAAGCTCATGAATCTCTCATGATCTCAGCCTCTTGCTTTGTTGTCAGATAATTTTATTTTCCTTTCAATTTTTTCCCCTCTCTTTTATCCGGATTGATGTCATTTGAATTTACAGCTGCTGCAGAGCAGCTTCCATTTGGAAAGAATTGATACCAATCATTGTATACTTTTTCTCTTTTTGCAGTGTTGGAGAAAATCTCTCTTGTATAGTCAATTTTGTCCTTGTATATTACTTCCTGATCGCAAGTATTGTATGGTTTGTCATCCAGACTTATGCTTGGCATATAACTTTCCAAGCTCTTGGTAAGGGAATGAAAGCTTTGTTTCTTTTATTACATAAGCTAAAATTATTAATATGTATTTATCAGAAAAATTGTGCAGCAGGCAATTAAGGCCATGTTCTTCAAAGTGCAAAATTCGAATTTGCGGATCAGAAAAACAGGGAATCAGTTTAAGTCGGCAACCCTCTTTGGTTGGTAATTTCCCGGCGTCCTGGTCAAAACTGGCTCATTGAGGTTTCTCCGTAACAGAGAATCTTTAGAGCTGCAAGTATCTCTTCACGAAAAAATAATAATCAATTACAGTGAAATCATGTATCTCTGCATTTTTTCCTTCTCTTGAAACCACTCTGTTCCTTGAGCAAGAATGGCTGTCAAAGACTTGTCTGTTAAAATGGACTTAAGTCTGGACAGAGATGTCTCATACCATTAGACTCAAGTTTGGAATGGGTTGCACAAATGGGAAACGTTGAAACCCTCCGAACTTGTCTAAATTAAAAACACAACGTGAGTTTAGTAATTTTCATCTTAGAGTTATCCTATAGTATTTTTGTACCATTGTATTTTAGCTCACTTGATTTAGAACTAAATTTAATGTTTTATTTTGTTTTTAAAAAAAAAGGTGTAGGTCTTGGTGTCCTAGTCTTCTTCGAAAACTGGGTGATTAGTGCATGATTCAGAACAAGATAGCTAAATCATATTTTCAGGCCTAAAAAGTGTACAGAGTGGTTCTCTTGAATGTACAACCCATAAACATTTTTAATCATGATCGTAGAATACCCGTAGCTATAATATCCTGTCAACTCTCGGAGACTCAAGTAATGCTGGATCAGGTGTTAAAGAGTAAATTTTGGATCACAAGAAGAAAAACGATGTAGTTCTTGGCTGATTCTTTGAGCACATTTTTCAATGTAAAAAATTAACGATGCAGTTTCTGTTCCAGGAAAAATTCAATCGAAGATTGATAAGCAAGGGGCTTATTTTCATTTGGCAGCATGGTCCCTGCCACTCGTTCTGACCATCACCGTCATGGCTCTGAGTAAAGTAGATGCAAGCAGTGTTTTTGGTATCTGTTTTGTGGGCGGGCAAAATCCTATCGTAAGAACTGTTTTTCTTTTGGTTCCTTTAGCTGTCGCCCTACTCATCGGTGGATTTTACTTGGGTGAAGGTACGTTTCTTTCGCATTTGAAATATTTGTATCCGATTCCTCAGCGTTAGTTTAGTCTACTCAGGTCTGATCGCATTATTAACATTTCAACGGTAAATCTGTTGTTGCAGTTCTCCTTTCATACTTTATTTTTTTAGTAAAAAATCACTCCCTGTCAGTTCCCAAAATTGATTGATTTCTTCTCTATATGCAAAGACAATTCTGTGAAAACTTTATGGAATGATGGTGATTTGTTCTCTTTTAAAAAAAACAAAGTAAGAGGGAAGATTTTAAATTACTGCAAACGAGTTACGTGGTTTGAGAATCTCACCATCCATTTCCTGTTATTCATCTAGAAAATTTAGTGAAGATAGGGATCAGTTCCTAATCGTGTAAAATTTTACAAGCTTAATATTAGTTTTGATTGAAATTGACAAAATAAACAAGTAATTATGGATTTTATCCATCTTTAGTCAAAACTCTCTTCATCAACATGTTTCATGGAAAAAGTCATTATGAAAAAATGAGAATTAGGGATCATCGCGGAGATATTTCGGCATACTTAATTTATTTCAACCAAAATTTCCTTGCATAGTTTTTAATGAATATTCACATTGAACTAAAATCATAGGCATGTGCACGTGTGTCAGCTTACTCTTTTGCCCTGCCTACCTTAATAGTCAGTACCTGTTCAATTTGCACACTCACTGCTCATTTGCTCATTGTAATCTTTAATTCTTTTCTGTCCTTTATCAATTCTTCTTGGATCAATATAAACGTAAGTATTATTAAAAGTCCAAGAGCAAGTTAACCGTTTTTACTGTTTTGTACTCATCAAAGAACATCACTATTCATGGGCAAAAAAATAAATTTGAATTGAACCCATTTGATACAAGTTGCAGGTTGAAATTTATCCACACCTGCTTCTGTAAAAATCAAGGATTTTTCTTCGGGTAAATTTTTTTATGTTTTTCCAAAGATCTTATTTTTTTTTTTTTTAAAGAGGAGGTGCCTCCTTTACATCATTTGTGAAAAAAAGGCACATCAAAAATATCTTATTTCTGTACTAAAAGTCAGTAGACATCCTGTTTAAGCCAAGTGAATATTCGCTTTTAGATCTTAGCTCAAACGTTGTGCATGTAGAGATTGACAAGAATATGAGTACGGCCTTTTGTTCAGAATCTGAGGAGTTAGACAAGCAATAAAAATTATATAACTCTCATATACACTTTTTTTTTTTGAAAACTGGTCAGTAAGTAATGTCATTTTTCATTGTCATTTTATCAGTTGTTAACAGTCAAAAAAAATTGACACATATACATACATAAAATTAAGACATGGTCGCAGTGAAAAGGCCAGGAACATGATATTATATAAAACGAGACATTTTAGTGCTTCCCCATGCCTTCCTCAGTCGCTGAAAATATAAAATTAAAACGTTGAAACAGTTCAAATATTAAAGGACTAGAGACAAGCTCAGGCCAAGGAAAGAGGATTTTATATATTGTGGGAAGAAGAATGTAAACAGCTATCATATTTGTAATGTACAGCCTTCGATTGATGCTTTTTAGAAGGTTTCTAGGCCTTTGATCTAGTCTCAGAGGTGATCGCAATAATGTATGTTCCCTAGGAAAATACAATAAAAATATCGTTACTTGGCGGGCTTAGTGTTGCAATGCCTCTATCCTCAAGGAACAGTAGTCTGTCTATAACTCAAAAAAATTGGTGGTCACCTCTTTTTTCGACTAAACTGTTCAATCATGTTGTTTTTTCCAGCACTCCTGACATTGATTCGATTAATAAGAGGTAGCAAAGAAATAATCTGTGAGAGAGCCACTCGGAAGATTCGTGATGTGATCGTGAAAATGTTGATCTTCATGATTTTCATCATTTTGTTGGTGTCAATAACATTGATCTGTCATATGTATCAGTTCGAACACGTGGAATCTTGGAAACTAAGCTTTCGTCAATATATCGTGTAAGTAATTGCTTGAATTTTGATTATTTAAAATCAACTTCACACAGTTGTTTTTCTGATTTCAGATGTATATTTTGATGTATCACTACATTTTTGAGCTCTGAGAGGATCCAGTAACTTCTGATGTTTGCATGAAATATACAAAAATCATCAATCTATCATGAAAAATTGAAAAAGATGAATTTTAAAGTAAATACTAATGCTCTTATTCTTGGCCGTTCTTCAAACAGCTCATTTCATTAAGAGGCTGTATATGGCTCATTTGGTGATGATTAAGGGCGGTTTAAGAAGCTCCTTAATATAACATCATAAAATGGACAATTTTAACTGATATCAAGTAAAATTCAACAGTATATCTTTGAAAATAGACTCTTGCAAACGATCACAATGATTTGTGGCCTTGTCGCTGAGTCGAAGATGCAGAGCCTTTTGTACTGAACTTTTGTAGTTGTGTCGTCTCATCTCCCTGGCCGGCGAAGCTTGCTCCTCGATCTTTTACACCTGTCACTTTGATAAGGCATGTGAAACTGCTGAAATCCTGATTTCTTTGAGATTGGCACCAAGATAGTTCGATTTTAAAAACTCATGTCACTGAAGGGATTGTGAGGAACATTTATAAAAAAAATCTCGAAATTTAGCCGGCGCCGGCTTTGTCGTTATTTTGTGTGGTGTCCGTGTACAAATTATTTTGTATAGAATGAAAAAAGTCAATTGATATTTTAAGACACGATGTTCATAAGTTTTCCTTTCAAAAACTGAAATGTGCAGAGGAGTCTGCATCTCTGTGAATTGTGTGACATGATGTCCATCAATTTTCCTTTAAAAACTAAAATGTGCAGAGACGTCTACATCTTTTTGAATTGAAGTATGCAGTTATTCACTTTTTCTATCGTAATCTGTTTTTAATTATCAGATGAGGGTCTCAATGCATTTCGGTAACTATGAATCTTGTTCTGTTTTACTGAAGTAATAGAAACATTTTTCATCCTCTGTTGCAGATGTCAGCTTGGAATATCTTTTGACAGTTATGTATTGGAAGAAAAATGTCGCATGAAGGAGCACCCGAGCGTTTTCATATTGCAGTTACAGGTCCTAGCCCTGTTTTCTACCGGTGTTCTAATGTCCATGTGGGTTTGGAATAAATCGTCATTTGTCACGTGGGAGCGTTTTTTCTCAAAGTAAGCCCTCAGCTCCATCTCGAGTATTGTTACCTGAAAATTTGCGTTTTTCTCTATTGTTGTAGATCAATAAAGTTAAACAGAAGACATTTAAGAAAAAAGAGTATTGAATGGTATAGTCTTTAAAAAAATTTTCTATCATTCAGTTTTAGCCTGTTGCAATATGGGTTTTTTCTGATTGCAGGAACCAAGCAATCTCTCTTACCCCTCTCGAAATCAACTTTAAGTATTACAAAACTTGAGGTTATAAAGTAGCACGAGCACTTTATGAAAGATACTCTTTTTGTATATTGTAAGGTGATCAACAAAATTATGGAAAGAAATTTCAACTTTGAGTGGAGGAAGGTTTTCAGCTTCAAATGAACTGCATAAAAACTTAGAAAATGGTCAATTATTCTATACAGAACCAAATGATTGATAATTTCAACTATATTTCTGGCTGATTTTGACACCAGCCAAAATAATAATCACACCAGCCAGAGGTGTTGTTGATGCAACCACATTTCTGGTTAACTCAATGATACCTCTGGTGGTGCAATTGCACAACTGGCCTGTGCCAAGAATACCTAGGAATGTAGTTGAAATATCTTCTGTGAAATGACATCAGACTCTCCTGAATCATATTAATTTTGATAATGTTCTATTGCTCGTGTAATAATGACCAAATCAAGGAAGAAACAAAGAATTCCTTAATTGTTTGCCAAATTATACGTATTCAATTTTGAATTACAGGCGAAAAGAAGAGAAAGAAGTGAAAGTACAGAAGCATAAAATTATTGCCACAGCATATGCAAAAAGGAAGTCAATAAATAGTGGCGATGGAAGATTCTCCATAACGTTTCCAAGTTCACGACAGGATCCAGTCGGTAAGTCCATTCAGTCCATTCGGCTGTGGTGATTCTCACAAGTTAGTAACATTGAGTTTTGTCCATTTCCTTGTAAAATTAAGCAATGAACCACTAGATTAGGTACAAATTCAAGCATTCTGGTATATGCACACGCCTTAAAATTTGACATAGGAGACTACTCGTGCAACGAAAATTACTGAAATCAATTCCTAACTAAGATATTAATATTTTTAGTTCACATTGGTCGCAGAAATTGTGAGTTCCTCGCTTAGGAGAAAAGCAATGATTTGCTTGAATCAATTTGCGCGCTACAAAAGTTTTGGCGAGCCTCTTAATTGAGGAGCTTTCCTTCCGAGATAAAAGAAAGTTGTTCTCATGCTCCTGGTTTCTTTATGGATCTGAAAATTGAACGTTCCTGAAATATGTATCTTCTTTGCAATGCCCCCTTTATGAACAACTGTTTTTTGTCATTCCCAGGATTTGATTTTGAACTAGATAGTGTTGGTACTAAAGGCGACCTAAGCTCCACATGGGCTGCAGCTCTCCCAAAATTTGTATTGAGACGCGGCGCTCTCACAGGGGTTGGCGGAGGAAGCAGCTCTTCACAGCGGAGGAACTCGTTTGGCTCTGAAGTGAGCTACTCCGTCCGGAGGTATTCAAGTCAAATATTTTTATGTTTCTAATGTTTTCACATTTTCTATTACCCATATTATTGAGGATAGTCTTTAATCAAATAGTTCGTGCAATAAATCATAACATCCTGTTCGGAGGAGGGTGGATGTACAAGGCACCATATTTTGCGTTAGAAGTGATAGATTTTCAGAATAATTTGTGGCCTGCACTATGGAAAGCGTAATCAAAATGGGTCCCTAGATAGTAGATACGGTATGAATTTAAGGTGATTCGATGGACGCTATATTTTGTGTCGGAATGACATGTAATATATCGCATCGATTACTTCCATTTTCTCAGCTACTCGTCATTTTTTTCGAATTTTCAGATCGCAATTCTGTTGTCAGGAGACTAAATAATTCATTTACCAATTTTGACAAACAAATTCAACTTAATAAAGGCGTGGTCTTTTTAGAGGAAAAATATCGCATTCGATACTAATATCGGAACTGCACTTGAATCAATATTTTCCCTCTATAAACACCATGCCTATATTACGTTGAATTTGTTTGTGTAAATGGGTAAAAGAATTCTTTAGTCTCCTGACAACAGAATTGTGTTCTCAAAATTTGAGAAAAATGATGAGTAGCTGAAAGAATAGAACCAATCAATGCGATTTATTGCATGTTGTTTTGACACAAAATATGGAGTCTATCAAATCACCTTAAGCATCACGCATCAGGTTTTCTAATGAAAATTTCACAAGAAAACGAATCACATCATTGAAAGTCCAAAAATACACTCTTAAGTAAGTTATAAGTACTCCTAATGGACATTGGTTTAATGGCAAAAGTACTAATGACATCATTTGTATAATTTACCTTCCTTTTGTGATGATTTGTGTGGATTTCAGCCGTGCCATTTTTTTTCTACTCAAGACTTAGTCTTATGACTCATTTGATACTTGAGGTGAGAGTAGCTCAGTTTTTTATTCTGAATAGATATTAAATGTAAGAGAAAGCACGGCTAAGCATGAATATTGGTTTTGATCAGGCAAAAAAAGTATGATTAGTGTCGCTCCTCGAGTGATAGTTTACAAATGCAGTTGTATTATTAGTGCTGCTTTGAAATTCTGCTTTGTGAAAGTAAACAAGAATGAAGCTGGCCTTAATTGAATGGGTCAGTTGTGCTGGTCACAGAATTGTGTTTTGATGCTTGATTATAGTAGGTTAGCTAAAAATATTAAGATCCGTCCAAACCGCAACTTTCTACGTTCAATATTAACCGAGATATCGCCCTTTGAAAAGTCGGGTTTTTTATGTCATCTACCGCGATAGTGGCACCCTTGGTTTCTTCCACCTTGGTTTTATCAGTCAGGGAGACACACATTAGCACTGGTTGCTCTACATGTAACGCTGATGAAAGCAATGTGGAAGAAACCAAGGGTGTCACTACCGCGGTGGATGATGTCAAAAACCCAACTTTTCAAAGGGCAATATGTCGGTTAATATTGAACGTAGAAAGTTGCAGTTTGTTCAGATCTTAATATCCTTAGCTAGTCTACTAGAATCAAGCATCAAAACACCATTCTGTGACCAGTGCAACTGACCCATTAGTACTTTTGTAAAGGGTGGAAGTCCATTTTTTCAAAATCTTTTTTCTTTTTTCCCATTTTTTAATGCTATTTTTGCATAGCATTCACAATCCTGTGCATCTGTTAATCGTGTTCTAAGAAGGGGACTATTGCTGCTTTTGTGTAAAGTATCGTAAGTTCAACGGAAGAGTTCAAAAATGCGAGAAAAAAATGAATTAAAAAAACGGACCTCTGCCTTTTTGAAAAGTACTGATTTGAAATGTGCTGAGCAAAACAAACGCAAAGCTTTACACACCACTATCTATCTTGAAACTCGAAAGATTTCAATGAAAGAAAACGTTGTCGGACACAGCTTTGGTCGTAAAGTCTCTCGATGTCCTCTAAGATGGATTTATTTTTATTTTAACAGAGTGTCTGTTGAGTCTAGAAGGCACTCGCTCGATTCAACCGTTTCTGTGCAAGCTGTTGAACTCACTGGAGTTGTTCGCAACACAAAAAGACACATGAGACACAAGAAGAATCGTCCAAGAGAGAGTAGCGCTCAAATGCATGTATCTCAAGAAAGCACCCTAGGGGCTCAAGTAAGTCTCTCATGGATTTTTTATTTGATTTCGTTCCTCCTTTGTTTCTGTCTATCGTTCAGTTGTAATGACAAAAGAAGCTTGAAGTATTGGTCCCTCTCAAAAAGTTTAATATAATCATCCTAACACCGAGTCTGCTGGTCGATCTGTTCTTTTCATTGCACAATGACCGCTATCTTGAATGGGAATCCTTTGAAAAACTGGACTTCTGAATTTTTATCTAACTTACACTTTATTTTTATCTTTCTACTCTTTTTTTATCATGAACCACATTTTGCAGCAAGGAACTACTATTCCTAGCTTATTTTAGAAACAACATATCGATGGCTAAAATGCGGAGACAGGTATCTCTACTGCAGTGTTTCAAAATCTCTGCTCCCATTTTATTTTTTTGAAGAGAAACAAGTCAACTATAAAGCTTAAAACGTCTGCGGAATAATCTTCCAACCGAGAAGAAAAATCAAGGAAGTTTTCAGTAAATTAACTTGACTAGCTTTCCAATTGAAAAATAATAAAGTATAACAGAAATTCTAAAACGTTGCAAACAGAGATATGTGGTTTTGCACTTTGGCTTTTGATGCATACCATTGGTTTTCCTATGAGGGTTTTTTTTGGCCCTCATCGCCAAATTATGTCCCTCATCGCAAAATGAAGTCCAAATATTGCTCTCTTGACAAATTTTCCTCGGCCTATCAAGGTCCTCTTCCACCAGGCATTCACAAAAGTCATTTTTCCTACCATTTCACAATAGGTCTAGCCCACACAAGAAATATACTCAAATGAATGGACTTTCTGCAGGTAAAATTGCACAAAAACCACATTTCTTACACCAAAAAAGTCTGAAATCCTCTCCGCAGTGCGCAATCTACCTAGTTTGTAACACTTTTTGTCATATTGCCGATAAAGGACTTCTGTCTATGGGTAGTTTTTTTCAGTGGCAAGCAATCTGGTTTGTTTAGAAAGAGACACAAGAATGCTTAACCCAAAAAACAAACAGTCTCGCGAAATGTAACAAACTCTCCTCACATATAATTTCAATGAATTTGAAGCTTCTGTCTTTGCAAAACAAAGAAATAAGGAGGGAACAAACACTTGATTGAAAACTATTGAAATCATTCGCAAGAAATAGTTTGCAAGATAGTTTGTTTATTTAGGTAAGGTTTTACATATTACATCTCTTTTCGAGCAAACCTGATCATTGGTGACCAAGGAGAAAGGCCTGCAGATTCTAGGAAATTGAGAAAATATGTTTCAAACTATGCAATTTGTGTGATGAAGAGAGGAATTCATGTTTTTTTATGCAATTTCATCTTATGAAAGTCTATTCACCTGGCTGTATCATTTGTAAGCTACAGACCCGCCATTGAGAAAAAGCAAGTTTTTAGAGGTTGAACACAAGTTATAATAGCATCTCATAACTTCCTCTACTCAAACATTGCACCAATTTTCTACAGGAGTAGTAGGATCCTCGCAACCATAAGAGGAATAAAAGATCCCATTTTTCGGCGGATTTCATTGCAGATTCAAATTTTTACAGTTCATTATTTTCAGTTTTATTCCGTCTACTTATTTTTGTCCTGTTTCAGATTTTGTCTGCTCTCTCAATGGGAACCGAAATGCCCGAATCTGCCCCCAATCTGAAAAGAAGAACTGCAAATGCTGGTCTGGATAGTTCACTTGATGCTTTCGCCGGGAAACTACTAAGTCAGCTCAATTCGCCCGAATTCAATTCTTCAGGCATTACCTCAGATCTCAGTGAGTCGAGCACCACTGATCATTTTTACTAGGGGTCTGCGAAGCGGCGATTTTCAAAGCGAAGCGAAGCCGCAATGTGCGTAGCAACTGCGAAGCGGACAAAAAAAAACCCTTCAAATACGCTGGATGCAACCTGCGGAAATTCGTTGCGGTTACTCCACAATCGAACCTTGCTTGGTCTGATTTCGTAAAGGAACCGCTCAATTAAAAAAGGGGGTAACATAAGAAATTCAAGTTTCCAGAATAGAAAAACAAGAAAGTCTACTTGTTTGACAGACCTTCATATTCCGGAACACTAAGATTAATCAATGTCCCAAAGACTGACTGTAATAAAACTATAGTTGCTCAAGCAGGATTGGAGAAATTCTGTATTATTCTAATATTCTGTATTCTGTATTATTACAGTCAGGAAGAATCCGTTTTCACTGATATCAGTAAATACTATGGATCAATGCTAACTCATTTTGCCTGACATTCGAAAGGGCACTCTAATAAAAGGGGTGAAGAACTCTCTATTTCCATTTTCCACCCGAGTAGAAGGGAAAAATTTGTGTGAAATAGCTTGATATCCTATGTGTATCCTTCAAGGATTGTAATTTGTCGGAAACTTATATTAAAAAAATTTGGCAGTCATCTCCTCTCTCAATTTGACGGTTAAATTATGTCCTTCTCTCTAGTGTATAAGTCTGATTACTTTAAGATGTAATTTTTAAGTGGTAGTTACTCAGAGTATTGATCATACTCTACTAGAGGATCAGCAAACTATCTCATGGCATCAAGATCTGCGATGCATTTAAGTGATTATTCTCAGGGAATCTGCCTTCTATGTCAAAGATACTCATGATGAACTAATGTGGATGAAAAATCCTCCTTCCTTTTTTTGAGATATTTTGAGCTTAAGCAGCAAGTAAAACCGTAAGACTGACATTTTTTTGCGCCACAATCAAGACTGCGTATCACCTAGCAAAGTAACAAGCGTAGAATCAAAGTTTTTCCTGTCGAACCTTAAAAGGTTATTTTTTTTTAAAAAAACTCTTTATTTAGTGAGTTACTAATTGCGTCCAGAATTTTCTTCTGCTTTTAGAAAATTACCAGAAGTAGCTCCTTGGTGATGTTCAATACGTTCCTAATTACGGAAAAGTTGTAAAGCTAAATCCTGTTTCTTTGTGAAATACACAAAAGCTTAGGCACCCATTTCATGGAGGTGGTTTGTTTTAAGTGGATCTTGCCCAGTTTGGAAAACAATCCGATGGTCTATTGATCTGAGTAATAATACTTGGATTTTAGGACATTTCTCCAAAAATCTCCAAGCATCACATCACGCTGCAGTCAGTCAGGTATTAGCACATAAAATTTGAAGGAGACACTTTGAGGTATCTCTGAAAGTGTATCCTGAGTAAATATCGCAAATTGTTTTGCCTTTGGATTTGCGACATCCACTCAGAACATCCTTCTAAAGTTATTTCAAAGTGTTTCTTGTTCAAATTTTGTGGATAAGTACCTGACTACAGTGTGATGTGATGCTTGGAGATTCTTGGAGGAATGTTCTAATATCCAGAAATTTTTAATCGATTGAGCAATTATTTAAGACTTCTGAAGATCCGCCCCATATTAGCAATCTATTTTTGGATATTCAAATCAGGCTGAAAAGATTTTTATCACTGAATCATTGATGTAAGCATTGTTTTGATAGACTTTTTAATGTGCCAAAGACTCTATTCGAGCTGCCAGAGAAAATGCTAAAAATGTAGCAAATTTGAAACAAAAAAAAATGACAAGTGTTCTATCTTTGATATTTGGACTTTTAACTTTCTAGTTTGTATCAAAAAATTAAGAATCTCTAAGCAAAGCATCCATCTTCATTTATCATCGGGGAAGAAATCTTACTTTTTGTCTATCAGACTTTTCCTATTGTATTTTGCTGAAAGCAAGTAAGTGCCTCCCAAACTTCCTGTGATTATTGTTTTAAAAAAGACTTTAGTTTTACCTTCTTTTGTAAGATTTTTGTGCAATTTTGTAAATATATTTTTAATAATTTGTATGGGGTCATCCCTAAATATTCACGATATATTCACGGTTTTTTGTAATGCTCTGTAAAGCAGTGTCGGCTCCCTTTAAAAGTTACATTGTGCTGATCCAGACCAACTCCTCCAAAGTATAAGATATGACACATTTCCCCCTGTCATTTATTTTAAGTATGGAGGTGTCTTTCAGTTTACATTTCCTTATGCCCAAAGAGGTCCAAACTTCAGCATTTAAAGGAGAAGTATTTTTGCCTCCAAAATCTTCTTTTGATTTTGGATTCTTCAAGACGCACAAAGAGAAAAACACTCAAAAACCTGGGAAAGATTACTCAGAACTTTTACGTAATGCTTCCTTCAATACCGTCCACCCTCTTTTGGAGAGTCAGGTATATTAGGGATGATCCCAGTGTTTATTGTTAGCTGTATATACGAGCGCATTGATCATTAGTGCAGCTCAAGGTGGCAAAGTTTCATGGTTAATCATGAAACATCTCTGATTTTTTCAGAAATATTTAAATGAACCTGATAAATACTCCTAAAATTGTAGATTCTCAAGTTCAGACTGTTAAACTCTGTAGATACTCATGATTCTAATTTATGTACTGACATTACTTTGACTCCAGTATTTGCAAGACTGATGCTCTAGTTGAATCTACCGCATCTTTATCGTTTGTGTATTCTTTTGTCGCAAACTGTTTATTTATTGTAAAAATTCCCCTCTGGTAATAGATACTTAAAAATTCTGTTAGAGATTCGTGTCCAAGAGAAGAGGCCACTTTTTCTTACCCACCGCTTAGCGATCTGTTTTGTATTAATTTCCATGTTCTACCTTTAATCACTGAATATCAATTTATTTTTTGTGAATTGGCATGTTTTGCCTATATCTGAATCGGCATCCTTTGAAAACTGAGTACTTATCCATGAATCTCCTCATGCCACCTTTACTGCAATTTTTGAAAAATAGAAAATTGGAATTTTCATTTTTATTACTTATTAATTTTTTGTTCAATGAATTTTCTTTAATGATAAATGCTTAATCCAATACTTTACCGTTGTAATTATCAGTGTTAAGGAATACTTAAATTTTGAAACAGCACAGACTGTAAGATTCTCACTCACTTCCTCTAACCATTTGGTAAAGTATAAATGGACGTATTTCTGTTAAAACAGAACTAAGCGCCAAATTGAGTTCCTTTTGAGGATTTTAGAATCCCGAATAGCATGTTCTGTCAAACGGAACTAAGTGCGATGGAACAGCATCGCGAGTATAGGACGGAACGAGCATCGTGTTCCGCAACACCCGCCAATCCAAGGCCCCCTCTCCTTTCTTCCCCCTATGGCGCTTAGTTCCATTTGATAGAAATACGTCCAAATACTAAAATAAATTTTTTTGACTGATCAGTTGACTGTGATCCCTCATCAACAGTTTTGGTTTCAGAACCATTAGCATGAAGAAGAGCAATTGTTATCAAAGGTGTGATGCGCCCTTTTTCCCCCCTCTTAATTTTTTGGGTTGTTCTTGGAATCCTTAAGCGTATTACATTTAAATTTGTAAATTATTTCAAAGGCATTTATGCAGTTTTGCTCAGTTCTCATACTAAAACAAGAACCAGAGTCGTAGTTTTGAAAAATGTTGCATTTACCATGCCTTTGTGGGCTCCCCTGATTTATCTAATTACCTCTGCTGTATTTTAATGAAAGAACCATGAAAGAAAAAAATACAGTCACCCTCTATGATAAGCCTCTAGACAAGGTATAGATTAAAGTGCTAGATACCCAACATGTGTTTCCTTCAAAATCTCACGAGAAATACGAATCATACTATGGGAAATCTGAAAATCCATTCCCAAACATGATACAAGTGGTTACAATCAACATTGGTTAAATGCCAAAAATACAGATCACATCCATATGCTCTAACTTCCACTTGGTCCGTGTTATAAATACTTGTAAATATATTGTTGAAAATTTAAAGAGAATTCATAAGTTTTTCGCGAATTACGGAGAAAGTTTGGATAAAAGTGAATCTATGACTCTTCAGACAAATATAGTCAGACCCTGTTTCAGATAAATTTACCCTATTCATCTGCTTGTGTGCATTGCAGTTGCGGTATTTGTGCAAGTAGGTAAAAAGGGTAAACTTGCATGAAACAAGGTCTACAAGTCTTGAAAAAATTAATGCATTAATTATTCAAGTTACCTTTTTTGAATAATATATTCAGTGTTAATGAGTCTTAGCACCCTGTGAATCCTAATAATTCCAAAACAAACTGCGCCAAAAAATAACAAACAAACAAAAAAAAATGTTCAATTTTTGTGAAAAACTCATAATAATTCATATTTGAAATCACTGAAGGGATTTTTCGTTGTATTCCCCATAAAAGAGGGGATAAACTATCTTCGACTTTTCAAATGATGGAGGGGATCAAACCACATGGATTTTTTTTTTCAAGTTATACAGGTTTTTGTGTTAGAGAAGTTGAATTATCAAGAGGGACTGTAATGAACCTTGCTCTTCTGATGATCATTTTCTCCTATTTGTGTACCCTTCTCCCTCAATTTTCTTATTCTTCCTCCTCTGGCTTCTCTTTTCGTTTCCTTTCCTCTGAAAGTTTTGTAAAGTTTCAATGGTAAGAAATGATTTGTTAGTAATTATAATTTTTACTCAGAATAATGTGATAGTGGTGTGTAATATATTTGTACACAGATCTGATATTCCTCAGAGTTTTTCATTTTTCCCATTCATTTTCATATTCCATTATTCATTTGCCTGAAAACCTTTGGACATTTTAAAATGTGGTCTTTTGCTATTACAAATGTAGATGAATAAGTACTTCTGATCTGCACCAAAGATTTTCTTTTCATAAGTACTTTTTCCAACAATGCAAGGGGGCTCCCTTTGAAAAAGATAAGTTATACATCCAGAGTCTTAACACTTGTTAACTTTAACTTACAAATAAAGAAATTTTCTTATCTCTCGATGATGCAGTATACTTTTTAACTTCTTCAGAGACGATTTGGAGGTATGAAAGCATCTCCTTCCCTCCTATAGCAAAATATTTTTTATAATATTTTCTCAATCAACTATGGCTGGCAAAATACTTTATAGAAATATTTAAATAAATGTGAGACGCCAGTAATTACTGAATAATAAAGAGATGGCTCTACGCTCACTTATCTCTGTAACCCTCCTTAGAACGAGTAAATCGATGGAAATTACATAATAATATATTAGATAAGATAAGAAGGATGGAGCCGAAGGCTACGCGACTTCAATTTCTTATTTTTTTCAAACTTTCTTGCCCCCCCCCCACCTCCTCCCGTGCTCACTCCTGTTGATTATTTTTTAAATTCAGAAGAGGTATTCATGAGTCGCCTCATTCAGATGTGTAGGGGGGGGGGGATTCCTCCCTTGATAGTCCATCAGGATTGCCGCGAAGAACTTCACTTGATGCACGCAGTGGTTCTCACTTCTCAGACGCATAGTCACATAATTAATAATAATTATGATAATAAGTGGAGATGTTTTTCACACGTTTTTCAAAGAAATTCGTGGATAATGAGTTTCAATGGGTCAAAATTACCTATTTACACGGTTTGCCGAGAGCCCACGCGGCAAATTCAAAATAGTTTTCTTTGTTTTTATTGGTTGCTTAAGTTGTGACGAATCAAGATCAGGCCAATCAACATCAACCTACAGCAACAACAGACAACAGCCAGATAGTTTCACACTTCACTGAAATGAGCTACATAGTTACCTACAAAGTTGATGTCCGATGTTTTTCGGAACAGATAGTATTCTAAAAGATCCGGAACCATCAGCGCAATTCGTTCCGGGGTCACTTTTTACCATTAATTTAAATTGATTCATCTACATTATGTGTTTTGATTCATCTTATATTGAGTATACACTCCCAGGACGATCCTCGAAAAATTTAGAGAAAATCCAAGGTGGAAGTCTGGAGCAGTGTTGATGAAAGTCCCCATCATCCATATGAGTCGAGTCGCGGATATTCCGACCAGGCCCTAACGTTTCCATAATTTTAATTGTTCATCCGATTTAATTATCTTATTGAGTATACACTCCCAGGACTATCCTCGAATAAAGAGAAAATCCAAGGGGAAAATCTTGAGCAATGTTGCCGTCTTCCCAGACTAGCGAAAATCCATAATTTTGTATAGATATGAAAAAGGCTAAGTCGTTGAGCCATTTTCTTGTGTTCATCTGGAGGAAGGCCTCCTGGGATCCTTCTCTAATTTTTACCTGTGTCTTTTTCCTCCATTTTGCTGCCATTTTAAAAGCAACCTCCAGGTAGATAGTCAATGATGGTGGCCTTGAAACAATAATGGAATACATAACGCATTCATACCCTTTAATGTTGCTGAGCAGTGTAGCGAAGTGGAAGAGACTATGAAAGAGCTTTGCTCCATCAATAAGTAATCTGGCTGTCAGGGAACTTTTGAGATATCGCTCATAATAATAAACACTGTTATTATCATTCACCTGTTGCAGTTTCTGGAGTGGATATATCAATTGATATCATCTTCATTAAATTTTTTCATTTGATTTCCAACGAGTCTTTACTTTACAGAGTAACCGTTACTTTCATTTTTGTTTTGGTAACAGTCTACCACATGCTGTAGCTTTTTTTAACAAATCCAGATATTTTAGGTACTGAAAAAATTCTTGTATCAGAGTACTAAGAAGAAATAGTGTTTCAAGATCCAACTGCGTTCATGGAAAAGTTAGTAACAAATCTTCATCCAGCCACCATAGGCCCGTGGAAACTTGAGACTGATTGTAATATTTTATTCAACTTTTAATACCCTTTGTGAGCTACCGCTTCATTATTACCAAACTTGTATTTTCAGGGCTGGAGTTGAAAAATTTACATTTTCATGGTAATTTTTGAATTAATAATTTCGAAGAAAGGGCATCTCCTTTTTTTTTAATTTTTTAGAAGAGCCAAAAAACCGATCGGAAAGTGAATATTTAGTGAAATCTCGAGACTGAAGGTTTGATACTGTGTATGATAGTAATGAGTAAATCCAGAGCAAAACCAGAAATTTAAATGAATACTGGAACTGAAATAATAATATGGGGATGGCCCCTTTTTTATATTATTTGCATTTTTCCATGTTTAATTCTACAATTTTCGCATAAATAAAAGGACCTTTCTATTGTGCTGAGATCTTTCCTGAAAAATATTATCACCGTGTCGTGTTTTTTCTGTGCCAGTGCCAGTAGAACACATATTATTGTGTGACAAAGCATATGTGAAATTAAATTCAAAAGGCAACATTTTTACTTAGTTGCTTTGTGTTGTTAGAACTACTGGACAGTTCTTTGTCTAGCTAAGAATGATAGGCAAATCTAAGGAACACAGCAGCTTGTCAGTAAAGATAGAAAGTGTATTTTAACAACACTTTAGGTTGACTTCTAGTCTCTTTGGAGACAGCCATTCTTCTAAATTATTGTTAAATTGGACCCCCTTGAATGATGTTTCGCAAGAAAACCAGTCGTAGGCTTCTAGAGGCTGGTTTGCGTATCCATTAAGAGAAGATTCCTTTAAGAAAGTAAGTTTGTCAAAATTTTAAAGATGGCCCCTTTTCAATATTATCAAGTATTTAAAAATCCCCAATTATGTATTATTTTTTAAAAGAGAACCAATTAAAGTATCTCTTTAAAACTATCTGTGAATGGTTATGAATGAGTATGGGAAATTTACAGAAAATGTAAAAAAAAAAACTGTACTTGGGCTAGTTTCCTCTAAAAAAAAGGGACACAAGAGTGGAGATTAGTGGTGTCACAATCAGAGTTACGCAATTTTTGACCTCGGCAATCAATATCTGGTTAGCATGAAGCAAGAAAAGATGCATCAAAGGTATGATTATGAAATGGTCCTAAGAAGGTTAGCCTAGAACGAAGCCCTGGCTGCAAGATTAAATGTATTCTTTATTGTATCTGGAATGTTCGCATCTTTTAATATTATTCTTATCTCGGTTTTTTTATTTTCAATTGTTAACTTAAAGCTGCTTTAAAATTAATTTAGGTGACTCTAATTCTAATTTTTTTCAGTTGATGAAAAGAAGGAGAGGGTGGTTTCACGATAACTGGAATAATTTTGTCGCCGTAACAGACAACACATTTTTCGGTCATATTTTTAGTAAAAATAATAATCGCTCAAATTTTTTCGCATTAACCTTAAAAGGGTCCTATTATAACGCTTTCTAATGATTTATTGCTCTACTTCTCAATTAATATTATGTAAATTCCGAAAATAGGCTGTCTGTTACACGGTAAAAAGTCAGCGTAACAGACAGCACATTTTCGGCCATTCATATATTAAAATTGAAGGGTAGAGCAATGAATCTTTGAAAATCACTATAACACATAACCCTGTGTAGCTTAATGCAAAAAAATTTGCGAGATTATCATTACTACTAAAAATATGCCCGAAAAATGTGTTGTCTGTTACGGCGACAAAACTATTCCAGTTATTGTGAAACCACTCTAACCCTTCAAGCCATTTTAAATGCCAAAAAGAAGATAAGACAAGAAATTAGCGAGTACAAGGACCGTCTTAAAATGCTAAAGAAACAATCACTAAATTCAAGAATGAAATTGGTAAGCTTTAAAGTGATAAACCAGCTGAGGCAACTGTAAATAATGAATTATAAAAACTTTCCTGTAAATAAAGTTCCTACATTTATATAGACTCAGCTTCCTTAGGATTCTTTTATGTTAATCTTTTCCCCTTAATCATCATGAAGAACAAGGCCTCATTTAAATTCTCTCTGGTATTCCTGCATTGAAGTGAAATTGAGGGGCTTGGAGGTCAAGGCGCATTAGTGCAGTTTTTAAACGTTGAGATATTAACAATTTCAAGTGAAACTGGTCTTGATGCATATTTTGTGAAAAATTCGCTCCCAAATTCCTATTTTTAAACATCAAAAAGTCAGTTTGAACTTCCTTTCTGCCTTGAGGATCCATGAAATTTCGAAACTTGTAACAAGTACATTTTGAAATAGCAAAAACTGCACTAATGTGCCTTGTACTCCAAGCCCCTCATTTGTCATCATCAAAAATGAATTGATCCCAGGTGGTCAATGGAAACCTCTTGAACTACTTTCTTCGAGACGAGCAGAATTATATTTTGTAATGGACCAGTAAACAAGGCAAAAATTGAAGCGTTCTGATACATGGCTTTTAACCAAAACACGTTAAACACAACTTGCACAAAGGGACTTACTGAAATCAACTCCAAACTAAGATAACAACGTTTTTAGTTAACATTGGTTACAAGAATTTTGAATTCCCTGCTCACAAGAAAAACAATGGTCTACTTGAATCAAATCACACATACCACAACAGTTTCGGCAGGCTTCTTTGTCAAGCCATGTTCCTTCCTGCCTTGTATTGTTCTAGGTGTTAACTACGTGCGACAGCTGAGCCGAAGATCCAAAATCAAGGTTGCTATCTTTTCATACCGCAGAGACTGTTACAGTAACCCTTACGGCGCAATTTGTCTCAACTAGACTTTAATTTTTCCATGAGCGCAAGGTTTGAATTCACGCATCAAAAAATGTTAAACAGATCAATTAGAGTTAGTTTCATCAATTTCTGTTCCGTGAATCGTGTTCTAGGTAAAATTCTTGTTATGACATGTATCAGAATGTGTTAATTTGTACTTTCTAAACCGGTCCATTAGTGGACTTGCGGCAAATTATGGATTTACTGATTTTCAACTTAGCATGGCAGCATACCACTGTGACCGCCCCCTCTTGATCCGCCAATGCTTCAAGTTTTGAAAAGCTCAAAAAGTTAACAATTAAAACTATTGTCAATTTTCAGTTCAATATAGGTTGATTGAAGCTAACAGGTTTAAAGTTACCCAACAGGGTTAAGTGTGATCAAAATCAACACAATTTCAATTGCATTTTCCTCAATACATAGTACCTTGTAGAGCCACCCTTCTACAAAATGCTCTTCAATTTTTACTCACCTCCTCCCATCCAAAAAAAAAAAATCGAATTTGGGAGACACAAATTAAATAAAATTGCATAATTTTTTGACATATAATTTAACATTAACAATATTATATGATACCTCAATAATAAAATTTAACAAATCAAAAATACATCATCAACATCTCATAGAATGATCCAACAAGGATAGTGATAGGTGACATTGCTATGGAATGAACTTGGGGAAAATAATTATGTGTTGTCATCGTGGCTTGGAGCATGGAGAGATTTTTTTTCAATGAACATAAGAATTACATACTAATACTACAGAACAAGAGTTGTTGAAAAAATATAATTAATCTCGTTCATAACATAGTCATTTTAAATCAAGTGAAATCAGCCGCTCATAAGCATTATGGTAAATAGGTTTAGCATCTTACGACTTTAGGTTCCAAACTATTAAAATTTTTTCTTTGATCTTTTGTTTGAGATTAACTGCTAAGGCTTGTGGAGAAAAGCTACTGGTTTTTAAGGGAACCAGGGGCTGGACAAAACAGCAAAAAAAAAAACAACATCTCTGAACTTACCTGCGTTTAGTATTTGGTCTGGCCTATTTGACTGGCTTAGAGGTGACCAATTTCAAATAAGATGCAGTTTACAGCGACAAAAAATTTAAGCACAGCTGATTGGCATGGTGCAAAAAGATGAATGCTGTATTAGATTTTTGTAGTTGTTCCCAACACACCCTGTCAATTGTAAAGTTGAGTTGAGGCTAATAAGAATGAAAATATTACAACTATTAAAACAGCAACTCTTGAAGAAGTCTCTATCAGTTGAAAGATGCTACTACAGATTTTCAAATTAACCTACTTTAGAGAACTTTCTTATGGAAAAGACTAAAATAGAATTTAGACAAAATATACTCGAAATGGGGAATGGTAAATTGTTTGAGTTCCAACCAATTCATAAACTAACAAAATTGTTTATGCATGTACTTAAATTAAGCATGCATTGGAGAGACATTTACGATGTTTTCAGAGGCTTTAATTACACCCTCATGCCACTGTTTACTTACAGCTAAAGCGAATTTTAGCTCATGCTTCATGGATGACTTTACTTTAAGACAAGAAATCTGGAAATTTTACGTTCAATAAATGAGTTGAGAAAGTGCCACCATCATACTTTTTTAATACATAACTAGTTGCCAAGATATCAGCATGAGTCCCTTCTGAGGAAAAATCATTCTCAAGAAAGAATTAAAAGGGCACCAGAATTGACTGACATGACACCAAATAACAGCAGCATTTGTTCCTCTCCACTATTGGGAGCCAACTTCTTCCAGTTAATCTTATGATATTTTACCTAAAAATAAGAAGAGAAGAGCAATAGTTAGAACTCATTCAACAGAAGTTGCTTCAAAAGCAAAAAATTAGGATACCTGTAGCGACCCTGCATGGGGAACCAAAGGTATTCTGACCTGGCTAAATTCAATTATTATTCAATATTATATTCTTTGCGACTTTCGAAGCGCAATGAATTTTTGAACTTAAAATTTCAATATGCCAAGGTCGAGACACGCGGGGCTGAAAAAATAATTTTTTGGCCTTTTCACAAGTGTTTTCCAATGGAGCTGAGGAATTCCTGGTTTAGGTGTAAGGAGGATACGCCTCACTCTGTTATCATTCGGAAAATTTGACTATTTTGTCTATCTTATCTTTCTGACCAGCAAGGAAACAAAAGCTCTCCTTGAAGACCAGTCGGATGTTACATCATATCTACTTAATATTGCAAGAAAAAATACAGAAAAATTCACTGTTTGGCCCTGCTTATCTCGAGCCTGGTACATAAAAGGTTTGAGTTTGAGAGCTTGATGGCGAGATGTTATTCGAGAATCCTTATACGAAGGATCTCGATCTTTAAAAATCAACTATATTATTACATCTGGAATAATCTTTTTTATTGTTTCAGAAGTTTGACTACTTATTTCATTCTTTTGAATGTATTTTTACTATAGATTAAGTCCAGATATAAGAACAGGATCAATTAGACCTCCTCACAAAATTATTCAAATGAGATTTATAGATATTCCCCTATAAAATACTCTGATCTTATTGATATCGGGATTTTTTTATGGTGAGACAGTGCCCAAGAGGTTGTAAGGAATATTATATCAAAAAACAGAATTTAGCAGATGCTGAGGTACTTGGTTTTCTAGATAGGAGCCCTTTTGACACTGAATTTGGGAGTCAATGTTGAGGTTCTGTTTTGTTCCATTTAGTTTTAGTTGTAAAGACATAACGACGGTGAAAGTCGGCAATCTCATAACTTGATTTGTGACGTCACAGACTTACTGTCATACTTTATTTTTTAAACGGAAAACTACTCAACGGCAATTCCTTAAAACTGCCGTGATTTTTCTTCTCTGTGCAAAGAGAATTCTGCAAAAACTTTAAGGAATGATGTCAATTTGTTCTCCTTTAAAAAAATAGCATAGAGGCTGAGATTTTCAGACACCGCAAACGAGATATGTGATTGCGGACTTACGCCGTTGATAAGCTTTGAATTGAGTATCGACACCAATACTGACTTTGATGGATCTATACCTCTAGAAGAAAATCAAAGGAAATTCGTGAATGTCTTCACAAAATAATCGATTGATCAATAGAATTGCTTCACCACTTTTGAAGCAGGGAAGTAGATAGCATTTTAAGAGCTCTGAAAAATTTCTTGCAACGTAGGAATAAATGCAAGAACCTAAAAACCTCATTTGAGCTGCATACTCATTTTGAATAAAGATCTATGAAAACAAACTAAAATAGAGGAGAAAGAGGCTAAAAAATAATTACTGGAGGAGAGGAACCTCGAGAAAACATAAGGTCAATTTCAAGAATTTAGGAAAAAACCTGAGGAACTCAGCTGCTCTGTGCCCCTGCCTGCCTTTACTGAATCATTGTCCTCTTCTGCCGTGCTGAGGAAGAACGCAGTATGAACATTCCAGAGTTGCCAAATTTACTTCTATAGCATTATTATTTTTGAGGAATGTTATGAATAGTTTTCCTTTCAATTTTCAGAGCCTGTAGATGCAATTACGAATATTATCTGAAAAAATTGGGAGAAAAATTGTCATAAGTTTACCAGAAAATTCGGATTTAATGAAAGGAAATTTGGCAACGCCTGAAGGTTTATGCAGCGTTCTTCCTTAGCACGGCTGTCTTGATGTGTGAGACTACCAATAATTACTAATTAGCCATTAATTCTTCAAGTTCAAAATCCACAACCATCGAGAAGATAATTATTGCATATTACAAGCTGGCCATCAAAATTACTATTTCGGCTAGATTGCCGATTGGGTCATTCCATATACAACCTACCAGCCATGCAACCGCCCGACTCGGATTTTGATGATAAATTTTTTTCTTGATCAGACCACCAAATAATGAACTTCTGCAAAATATTAGGTCTCAAATCAAAAAACTCACTGAGATATGAATTTTTGAAGCTTTAAGAATTTTCAAGAAAGTGACGTTTCGAACTTCCGAGAAAGAGAGGATCATTTTTCCCAATAAAATTCACACCGGGCCCATTTTTCGTCGGATTGAAGTGAAAATTTGACACAATGTCAATGAAAGTATGTAGATTTGAGAAAAAAATGCATGAAGTGTTCGACTTCACTCATTGATGTGCTGCGGTTGATTGTTTGTTGTGATTTTGTCTGATTTTGGCGACAAGACCTTCCCCTCTTCAAATGCCCATAACTTTTGAGCTGCAAGTTATTTTTTGCTCCAATTTTTTTTTAAAATGCTCCTAAGAGTATTAGAAAGACGCCTAAGGAACAATTCTGATGGTGTTTTGGGCTTTCCTATCTTTTTTTTTCACATTTGTCCAAAAGAGGCGTAAAAAACTGAAAATAACACCAAAATGATTCCGATAATCGTCCATTACCCTGAAAAGTCCACTCAAAAATCGCTCATTTTTTGCCTGAATGGTCCTTACTGTGTGTACAATATGTTTGAAAAATACAATCAATGGTATTTTGGGTTTAAATATCTTTTACTTCGAGTTTTTGCCCAAAAAAGGCGCGCAAAACTGAAAAACACTGAAATTACGCCAATTATTGGCCCCAACTTTGGAGTAGCAACTCAAAGATTGCTCATATTTTTACTGAATGGTTCTAATTGCATGTGAAATGCATCTGGGGAATAAAAGTGATGGTATGTTCGGTTTCCACAACCCTCCTCCCAACAATTTTACTCAAGAGAGGCTTGCTTACCTGAAAAAAGCGCTAGGAAAATCTCATTAACCTGCCATTGCATTGAAAAAGCAATTGATTGGGGGCCCAGATTTTTCACCAAAAGACTCTTGTTGTATGGGAAGCATACTAACTTGAGAAGTGAATATAGTGTATTCTTGGTTGTAGTAGTTTTTTCCTTCACTCCTATCTTTAAGATCGGTATTTAAAGGAAGGAAATAAAACTGCAGGTATCCCTTTACTGGCGGGCATCCCTATTCACATTTAAATGCGATTTACTGACTCTTGGATGTGTGTTCGCCTGGCTGTTATGTGTCTCTTTCGCACACCCAAGCGTCCAGCCAGGCGATTTTCTTTCTCTCTCGCACACTAAAGCGTCCCACCAAGGGAAACCGCTCTCAGAGGCTCGCGGGGGAACGCGGTGCGCCTTTGCCGTAAAAACAACGCAAGTCCAACCGTGCGACTTTCTTTCTCTCTCGCACTTATGCGCGAGCCGCCTGGTTTTTTTCTGTCTCTCTCGCACACCCAAGCGTCCTGCCAGGCGATTTTCCATCCCTCTTGCACGCTTGAGCGAGCCGCCAATGGTAACGGAGGGCGCAACCGCTCTCAGAGGGTCCGAGGGGAACGCGATGCGCCTTTGCTGTAAAAACAACGCAAGTCCAACCGTGCGATTTTCTTTCTCTCTCGCACTTCTGCGCGAGTCGCCTGGCTGTTTTCAGTCTCTCTCGAACACCCAAGCGTCCCGCCAGGCGAGTTTCTATCTCTCTCGCACACTTGAGCGAGCCGCCAAGGGCAACCGAGGGCGAAACCGCTCTCGGAGGGTCGCGGGGGAACGCGATGCGCCTTTGCTGTAAAAACAACGCAAGTCCAACCGTGCGATTTTCTTTCTCTCTCGCACTTATGCGCGAGCCACCTGGCTGTATTCTGTCTCTCTCCCACACACAAGCCTCCCGACAGGCGATTTTCTATCTCTGTCGCACACTTGAGCAAGCCGCCTGGCTTTTTTCTGTCTCTCTCGCACACCCAAGCGTCCCGCCAGGCAATTTTCTATCACTCTCGCACACTTGAGCGAGCCGCCAAGGGCAACCGAGGGTGCAACCACTCTCGGAGGGTCGCAGGGGAACGCGATGCTGCTTTGATGGCAAAACCACCCAAGTCCCGCCTGGCTATTTGCTGTCTCTCTCGCACTTATACGCTTCCTACGTGAGCGATTTTCTGTCTCTCTCGCACACTTTGGCGAGCTGCCTGGCTGTTTTCTGTCTCTCTCGCACACAATCGCTTCGTGCGAGGCGATATTCCATCTCTCTCACACTTATACGCTCGCTACCTGGGCGATTTTCTGTCTCTCTCGCACTGGGTGCCCTTGAACGGGGCAACCGAGGGTGCAACCACTCTCGGAGGGTCGCGGGGGAACGCGATGCTGCTTTGACGGAAAAACCACCCAAGCCTCGCCTGGTATTTGCTGTCTCTCTCCCACTTAAACGATTCCTACCAGGGCGATTTTGTGTCTCTCTCGCACACTTTAGCGAGCCGCCTGGCTATTTTCTGTCTCTCTCGCACACAATCGCGTCGTGCAAGGAGATTTTCTATCTCTCTCGCACTTATACGCTTGCTGCCTGGGCGATTTTCCGTCTCTCTCGCACTGGGTGCCCGAAACGGGTCAACCAAGGGTGCAACAACTCTCGGAGGGTCGCGGGGGAACGCGATGCTGCTTTGACGGAAAAACCACCCAAGCCTCGCCTGGTATTTCCTGTCTCTCTCGCACTTATACGCTACCTACCTGGGCGATTTTGTGTCTCTCTCGCACAATTTAGCGAGCCGCCTTACTATAGATAGAAAGTCGCCTTGCACGACGCGATTGTGTGCGAGAGAGACAGAAAATAGCCAGGCGGCTCGCTATTGTAAGCGAGACAGATAGAAAATCGCCCAGGTAGCAAGCGTATAAGTGGGAGTGGGATAGAAAATCGCCTTGCACGACGCGATTGTGTCCGAGAGAGACAGAAAATCGCCCAGGTAGGAAGCGTATACGTACGAGAGAGACAGCAAATACCAGGCGGGACATGGGTGGTTTTTCCGTCAAAGCAGCATCGCGTTCCCCCGCGACCCTCCGAGAGTGGTTGCACCCTCGGTTGCCCCGTTCAAGGGCAGCCAGTGCGAGAGAGACAGAAAATCGCCCAGGGAGCAAGCGTATAAGTGCGAGAGAGATAGAAAATCGCCTGCGTGCAAGAGAGACAGAAAATCGCTAAGGTAGGAAGCGTATAAGTGCGAGAGAGATAGAAAATCGCCTGTGTGCGAGAGAGACGGATAATCGCCCAGGTAGGAAGCGTATAAGTGCGAGAGAGACAGCAAATACCAGGCGGGACTTGGGTGGTTTTTCCGTCAAAGCATCATCGCGTTCCCCCGCGACCCTCCGAGAGTGGTTGCACCCTCGGTTGCCCCGTTCAAGGGCACCCAGTGCGAGGGAGACAGAAAATCGCCCAGGTAGGAAGCGTATAAGTGCGAGAGAGATATAAAATCGCCTGTGTGCGAGAGAGACAGAAAATCGCCCAGGTAGGAAGCGTATAAGTGC